AAAAGTCATTACAATATTCAAATACGAAACTTGAAAAAAAATCGGTGAATAATGTATCTCAAAATCAAAATCAAATACCGAATATAAGGACGTACCGTTATATCAGGTCTATACGAAGTCCTGGACCTGCATAGACAATTTTCTATCACAAGCTGTAAAACTAATTATGAACTTCAAATACGAAATTTCAAACAATTTCGGTGAATATCGTACCTAAAATCGTCAAAATACCGAATATTGGGAGGAAACGTTTTATGGAGGTTATATGAAGACGTGGGCCTGCATACGCAATTTTACGAATTCTAAATACGAAATTTTATATATCATATACTGTAGTATCTAAATACTGTCAAAATATCGAAAATATCGGGCTATACGATATTATGGACCTATATAGACATATCTCTCCAAGGAGGCAAAGTACTTAGAAAGAACTACTTGTATGGATTTCTAGACAATTCCATTGAGAAATGTAGCTAAAATCATCAAAATGCGGAATATAGTGAGATACAGTTTAAATGGGGGATATACGATATCGTGTACCAATATAGACAATACTCCTCCAGGGGGTAAAGTACCCAAAAGGAACTCATTTTTTTGGATTTGTAGACAATTTCATCGAAAAATGTGGCTAGAATTATAAAAATACCGAATATCGGGGGTATATACTATACATACAATATCGTAGACCGCTATAGCCGACCTTCGAACTTGACCTGCCTGCAGAGAAAAGACTGATCTGTGTAAAATTGTATTAGTTTTGACTCTAGCATGATTACAACAGCCAGGCAGACGGACGGTCGGACAGGGCTAAATCGTCTTAGAAAAATTTGGTTACAATCATCAAAATACCGAATATCGGGAGATACCGGTCTATGGGGGCTATTCGATAATTTTACACTGATCAAGAATATTTATACTTTGTTAGGTCTAAAAGGATTTCTTCGATGAGTCACAAACGGAATAACGAACTTAATATACCCTCCATACTATGTATGGTAGAGGGTATAAAAATAACAGCGCATATGCCTAATGTCTTTAAGAATCTCTCAATATAAACCCCTAACAACAAGCATTAAAACGTGACTATATATTAAAGATGATATACGGGAAATCACTAAAAACTTTAAAATCTTCATTTAATCTCTCTTTCAATAATACATTATAAAACCACTACTATTTAATTTCTCTTCCAAAAAACCATAACCCTGACAATGATTGATTTCATTTGTTACACCATTGGTGGTGTAGTATCGCTTTGTTTGTTTTATTTTTTTTTTCAAGTTCCTGCCAAGGTCGATAACAACCAAAAAAAACGCATACCTTTTTGTGTATGACTTCAATGAAGGCAGTCATGCGATGTGCCTACACGCCTAGATGTTTATGCAAAAGCACATAACTTTGATCCTTGCTTGCCTGCTTTTTTTCGGTAATTGCATGGATGTCATTGCAGGTGTATGCGTGTGTGTGAGTGTATACTGCATGTTTTGGATTTTTACATTGCACTTGTATAAATTAGTCTAGATGAACTTGAAGAATTCTCAACCAAACAAAAAAAACAGTCAACGTATGAACAACAACAATGTTAATGCAGGTTGGTGGGTGTGAGTGTTACTCTCTGTGTGTGTGTCTCTTGTCGGCGACATCTATGTAGCTATTTGAAAGTATGTTTTTTTTTTTTTTTTTTCCTTTTTTGGGGAAAATTACTGTTATTCTCAAAGTATGCACAACAAACAACAGCAAACACCACACCACGGCACAGCACAGCATCATGCCAGCCATGCCAACACCATACGTGCGTGATGTGTAATGTCATACCAAAGACGACATCTCTGAGAATGTGAATGGATGGATGGCATGGCAAAGTAACAACAACAATGGTGAGTGACACTCAAAATGCAAGTGATGCACTCTTGCAGTGGCTGATGTTACTCTGGCCGACGCCAATGTTGTTGTTGTTGATGTTTTGCTTTTCTAAATGGGGTTTAAGTAACACCATTTGTGTGTGTCCCAGCTGCTCAGCGTCAACAACATCCAAGTTGGGGTTTGTTGTGATTTGAGCCGTGTACCTACTATACATACACATAAATATGTATGTATGGCCATACTATCTACATACATACAAACATATAAACTCTTTTGCTAAATTATACACACACACACGTACGTGTGGCAAATATCCACTTTACTCTCATCACATCACATGTTCATATGTATTTCCGTGTGTAAATATGTTTGTATATATATGTACATTTGTATGTAAAAGGTATATCGCATTCTGAGTGTGTGTGTGTTTTTTTGCACACTTTTCAAGGTTCCACGACATGTTTTCTAATTCTTTTTTTTCATCTGCTGCTGCTTCTTTTACACATTTTGCCTTAACACTTTGGCTTGGTTTTGTGTTGGAATTTTTTCTTTGATATTTCCAAGTTGTTTTGGGTCTTTTTTTCTGCTTTGATAACAATAATGAGGAGGAGGAGGAGGACAACGACAATGGCAAAGAGTGGTAAATTATGATTCAGAATTACATTCATACTACCTATGTACATACTATTTTTGTTATTATTAAAAAAAAAAAAAGAAAATACACACATTTTTTTAGTTATTAGAAACGGCTTTCTTATTCTGCTTCTTCTTCTTCTTCTTTTTTTTTACTCCTTGGACACCTTTTTCTTGGTTACTCGCATCGCGTATTTGATGGCCATCATCATCATCGTCATTGCCGTGAACCTCAACAGCAGCAGCAGTGGAAGTTTTGATGGTCTTTAGTAATGGAATTTTGCTTGCACAAACACACATACACACACATTTAAAACTTTGTCATCAGTGATGGCTCCATTATCACCCGGATAGTTGTGATTTATAGGATGCTTCTCCACTTCGTACTGCTCACATTTTTCTAATTTCTTTTCTTTTTTTCCCGCAATTTCCAATATTTTTTTATTCGTTTGTCACTTGTTTTCTCCCGTTTTTATTCGATTTTTGTTTCGTGTTTCATTTGTTAGAGAAAAATATTTTGAAAAAAAGCATTTTTTGTTTTTTGGAACCAACAGAAAAAAGACAATATTAACTAGACGAACGCGCGAGTAAAGCTGCGACTACGTTTATTAATGGCATATGTCTGGAGCTAAACTGTTGGCAGTGTTTCGTTTGTTTGGCCCAACAGGGTAAACGACGAGCACCAAACGTATGTTGCCTGCTTTACACACAGGGAGAGAGAGAAAGAGCCGATACTGTCATCCAATGTCAGTGCTGAGAACGAAACATGCGCAAGTGGGGACAATTTATTTAACCCATTAAATGGGGAGTAATAATGTCATAATGTAAGTTCCTGTAAAATAGCTGGATGTCTAAAGGAGGATGTAGATAGTGGAGGGGGGAGGGGGGAGAAAGGTCTGGAAATAAGCAAAATATTCAAAAAATAAATAAATAAATACAGATATTACATTTATCCATGATAGACTTTAGTGCCAAAAAGGCAAGGCAGAGTCAAAATATGGCAACCCTATGAAAATATATCTGTTGTTATCATGGTAGAAGAAAATAGGTAGACTCACGACACAGCTGTTGGGAAAACCAATTTTGGAATTCAAAATGTTGAATGAAAAAATATTTAAATTAGTAAAAATGGTTGAAAAACGCGTATTATAATAAAGCCCGAATGACGTCGTATAAGAAAACATATAAAAATCTACTTACATTTGAAGAGACATTAAAACATTTTTGACATATCAATGTTCCCAAGCGTTGATGCATCTACCTGTATTCTTCTACCATGTTTGTGATGATATTATAACAAAAGGCCTGTTCCAGAACTGCAAGAATGTAAAAGTTTTCACTACGATAACCGTGTTTCCCTTTATGATATCGAAAAAAATTGTAAGACTAGCAGATACTTGCAGGCATGGTACAATGAATTCAAGGTAGGGCAGAACTACCATATGATTTTAATTTTTTTATTTTTCTGGCTTAATATGTCAACTTCATTTGTATATGTGTGTGTATTCTTTTCAATAATAAAAAAAATGTTCAGAAAATATTCAAATTCGGGTGTTTTCAAAATGCTTATTGCAACGTATGCATCGACGAAATCTACAGTTTTTGTCGGGAATAAACCATAAGAGATATAGAACATGAATTTGAAAAGAAATTGTGACCTTTCATTCAGTTTTCGCGGTTTTAAATTATTTATTCAAAACCAATGCAACAAGTTGTTTGCTTTTTTATTCAAGAAAGTGGACGGAAGAAAACAGCAACATCAGCAGAAATGGTTCGAAAAGTAAAGAAGCGACTTGATCGAAACCCGCGTCGCAATGGCCGAAAAATGACTCGTGAGCTGAATATATCGCAATATTCCATTCGGCAAATATGGAAATATGAGCTCAGGGTAAAGCCATTAAAATTCCAATAAGTGCAGAACTTACACCGCAACAGAAAGAGACCAAAAGAGCTAAAGAGTTGCTTCGCTTGGCCGACAGTTCTTATGTACTTACACCTTTATTCTTCTCTGGCTGCTTGACTGCAAATGTACTTTTTCTCCATTCCTAAGGGCGTGGATACAATGACAACATTTTAAACTACATTTCTAGCTGTGTCATGCCTGGCAAAAGTATTTAATCTGTATTTTTTTTTTTTTTTTTTTTTTTTGATAAATTTATTAACATGATTTTCCTCTGTACCAGGCAACCCTATACCGGCACTTTCAATTAGGCGACATTGGCTCTCTACCAATCAATCGATACTACTTATCGATTTACTCCAACGATGTAATTTTGACACATACAAAACGTATGTGTGTCAGAAAAAGAACATCGTTTTAACATTTAAATTACATTTAAACTGTAAATGTTTTATTAATTTATTATCTTTCTTTTCATGTCTAACAGGCAACTCTATACTCGCACTTTCGATTCTATGACTCTTTGGCCATCGACCAATCAATCGATACTATTTATCGATTTACTCCACGGTGTAGTTTTGACACATACAAAACATATGTGTGTCAGAAGAAGAGGAAGACCATCTCGCAGTTGTTTATTGCGTATTCGAGGATTTTTTCACCGCAAAGTAGGAATTGTTTGTGCAACGTAACGTTACAAGACGACGACCACGGCGAAAGGGCATCATTTGACGATACGGAAAAGTGGCTTGGCAATTAAAGGTCCAATTCATTGGTCCTACATATTTACGAAGTTGGAGCAGACGTTGGTGGGCATTTTTCAAGAATGAGTTTGGCACTACGTTTGACTCGGCTTCCGGTGGTCGTCGTAAGCGGTGTTTGCCAGGAATCTTCAACATCGATATTCCACAAACACAGCTGTTTAGGTAACAGCACAAACGCATTACTGCGACGACACTACGTAACTTCAAGGTGAGTAAAAGTGGCAAATTAGGATTAATTAATACATGATTTTGTGTTAATACGTACATACTTTTGTGGTGGTGTCTTCCAATTGTGAAAACATACATATGTACATATATGATTTGCCAGATGATTTCACAACAGCATATAATATTTCAATAATCGATCTTCATATTTTATTTATAGCGATCCTGCACCCAAAAAGACCCCCTCCACAACCCCCGTACCACCGAAAAGCACTCAATTTGATACGAACAAGGAAAAGGTTACAACCCCCATCACAGATGCATTCGACACGGCAAAGAGTGGGAAACCCTCAACAACACCCCTCTCGGAAAATATCAATAAATTGCAACAGGCTACGGCACCCATTAAAGATGCTGCAAAGCAGGCGGTCATAGCCAAAACGAAACTATCACCACAACAAGTGCGTGAAAATGTTCGAGGTTATATGTTTACACGATTCTTTGACTATGTCAAGAACTATGACAAAGTTTTGGAAAAGAATTTCCCCTCGGCTATGAAAGTCTATCGGGTTTTCTTTGATGGAGTAAAGGAATTCTTTGCTGACATGAAACGCTTTTTGAAAATTGCACGCATTGTAAATGCCTCGTCAAAGGGACTGAAGAGTCTAAATCGTCAGGAGTTGGAGTTGTACATGCAAATGCCCAGGGATATGATAAAGGTGGCGCCGGCTTTGATTTTATCCTCATTGCCCATGGTGGGTTATGCGGTGTTTCCATTGGTGTAAGTTGTAGTGCTATATAAAAATATTGGAAATTATTTTATATTATTTCTTCTATTTCTGCAGTGTCATGTATCCCCGCACATTTCTAACCTCCCATTTTTGGACTCTGCAACAAAAATCAGAATTTAAGCAATATTATTTCCTGGAACGTTTAACCTACAACCGTCCCGTGTTACGTTGCTTACAGGCCAAACTGAAGACTACCAAAAATCATCCCAAATATGAACAATTTGCTCAGGTCCTGGGCCAGTTGGGTAGTGGCACCCATCCCAGTGTGGAACAAATTTTAGATATTAAAGATATTTTTGCAGATTCACCTTTTAATTTAATATCGCTGCCAGGAAAACATATCGTAAGTAAATGTGAATATAAAATATTTAATTTAATGGGCTTGACTAAAGCTGATTATCCCCGTTTCAGAGACTTGAGCCATTGAATTTGGGATACTTTTAAAAAGGTCATAAGATAATGTTGTGTATATAGGAAATGTCCTCCTTCATATCCAGGAAATCTATTATTAGATCTATTGAGAACCTACACTTAATTTACATAATTAATCTTCTGGGACTCCAATTAGAGCTACTTCAGGGAGAAGAGAATATTTTGGATATATTATGGAACCTCTTAAGAAACTTATTTAGGTCCATATTAATGTCGTTTGCCTCCAAATCGCGCTTCAATTTGGGGATTTTTTAAAGTTTACATTTGCGGATTCTTTGGTTCGCAAACGGTAGACTTTTATGAAGCTTATTGGGCTGCATATTGAGACCCCCATTTCTAGTTTTGCTATTGAAATTCCCTTACTATTTCACTCTTTTTAGAGAGGGCATATAAAAGTAAGTTTCAGGAAATTTATTGCCACCATAAAAGGAATTTTAAAAACTAACAATTTGGAATATTTGTAGGCTTCCAATTCAGGAGTCAATTATGCAGGCTTAAGAAGTTCATTAGATGATTTGTTAAGTTTCACATTGAGCAATTGATGAGGGCTTTCATTAGGAAGTTCATTGGGGCTCCAAAAAGAAGCATTAAGGTGTATTTAAAACGTCTATAAAGCTTCCCTTCTGGAGACGTATTTCTGCTCCATTAGAATTTTCATTGCGGCTCTTTTAAGGATAATGTTCAATATTTAAAGCGGTTTGTTATATCACCAACGAGGAGATGTATTGAAGCTCCATTAGAAAGTTTAACAAGGGTCCAATTAGAAAAGCATTCAAGCTCCAATTAAAGAGCCTTTATAGCAATCTATTGAGCTTCTTATGAGTAGATGTAGTTATGGTCCATTAGGAAAACTCATAAGATTAATGCAAGAAGAGTATTAAAGCTCCCAATAAGAGTCTTTAAACGGTCTATTGTGTCTCTTATGAGGAGATGTATTCAGGCTTTATTAGAAAGTTTAACGAGGTCCTATTAGGATAGTATTCCAGCGACCGTTATTTCGTCTTTAAGGCAGTCTATTAAGCCTCCTATGAGGAGATATGTTTAAGCTCCTTTAGGAAGTTTAGTAAGGCTTCTTAGGATAGTATTCACGAAACCATTAATGCTCTATTAAAGGCTCCAATAAGGAGATGTATTTAAGCTCAATTTGGGGCTTTATTAAGACTCCAACAAGACTGTATTTAAGTTCTTATTGAGGGGATGTATTTACCTCCACTATGAAGTTTATATGGCATTGGATTCCGTTTATACCCCTCCTATCTTCGTCATTCCATTTGTAACACATCGAAATAATAGTTTTAGGCCCAACAATATATATATATTTAGGATCAGCGTAAAATTCTAAGACGATTTAGCCCCTTTCGTCCGTCCGTCTGTTGTAATCGCGCTGGAGAGAAATCGAATAAAGATAAGAAGCTAAAATTTTGTACCGATCTATCTTTTCTTTGTAGGCAAGTCAAGTTTGAAGATGGGTTATAACGGTCCATGATATCGTATAGCCTCCATGTAACGGTACCCCCGATATTCGGTATTTTGACGATTTTAACCACATTTTTTTAATGGAATTGTCGGACATTTTACACAAGGAGTTCTTCGTGACTATTTTACCCCCCGAAATAGAATTGTCTATATAGGTCCACGATATCGTATGTCCCCAAATATAATTGTTCATCCCGATATTCGGTGTTTTGATGATTTTAGGCCCATTTTTTAATAGAATCGTCTAAAATTTTACACAGGGAGTTCTCCGTGAGTAGAAAAAAAGTCTATATAAGTCAACGTTTTGGTATAGCACCCATGTAACGTTAACACGAGATATTCGATATTTCTAGGATTTTCGCGACATTATTTACTGAATTTGCTTCAATTTTCGTATTTAAAGTTCGTAATGGGTACTACAACCTATGACGCAAAATTGTCTATGCGGGTCCACGTCTTAGTATAGCCCCAATACAAACGTACCTCTTTTTACGGTATTTTTGATATTAGCGACAAAGTAAAAACCAAAAAAATTTATAAATTTGGAGTCTTACCTTTTGATCATTGATGGCGACTTATTTTTAAATAAAAACCTCAATTTCTGTTGGTTCCGGTTTGCGCTGCTATCTTTTTCATTTGTATTCCTTTCATTTATAAAATATGACACTAGGAATTTTAAAAAGAAATTATATGAACTGTTTTTTTTTTTCAGAAATTGCTCAACAAAATGCATGGCATACCCCGTGGCTGGTTCAAGCGTCACAGTTTATACGAGCATGCCTTCTTCATACACTACATGGACCTGGCCATATGTCGTGAAGGTGGTGTCCACAATATGCCGCTCGAGGCATTGCGTAACGCATGCTACATCCGTGGCCTTAATCCCATTAACATGAGCAACGATGACATGATTATGTGGCTGCGTGATTGGATCAAGATCTCCCAAGAAATACGAGTAGAACATTTAACATTGTATTTGCATTTGCCCATCCTGATGGCGTATAATCATCCCAACAATTGGCAATTGTTGTACGGCCATAAGGATGCCAAGAAACAAAGTCAAGCCGCCGATCAATAAATTAGAGCAACGACAGAAGGAAGTGGCATTGCAAAGTCGACGAAGATAAATCCAAACACTGCATCTAGAAGATAGTCAAAAAACAAAGAATAGTAGTCCTAAAACAAAACAAAAAACTGGTCTGTTATGTTATTTTTAATGGTTCCTTTTTCATTTGGTTTTCGTTTTTTATAAGTTTTATTGAAGTCCTGAGAAAGAAAAAAAAAAATCAAAATAAAAAAACAATTGCTGTTAGATAATATCAAAGTGGAGGAGTTTGTTTTGCATGGATATAGGGTATGGTTGGAAAGGATATTTTTGGTAAATACCTACACAAAAAGAAATTTAATTGAAGGAAAATTTGATGGTTAGCAGGACAACTGGGAGTTGAATTTACATCACTCTTGAGGAGGACAAAAGTTGGTACTTGGATTTACGAGAAATAACCTTTTCTAACGGATATTTCCAAAGATTTTGCGGTCCACGATTTAATCCATGTCAGGATTTTAAAGTTTATTTTATATTTCACGCGTGTAACCTGACGGTCCAACCGTAATCTCGTCTACGGTACGAATATGTTCTGGATGTTGGTATAATATTTGAATTTATTCAGAAAATTTCAAAAAAAATTCTATTCTCATTCCAATTCACAGAGGTTGTAACCTTAGGCCGAATGAGAATTCTGTAGTTTCGGTCCCGGGGCCCCCATATTAGGTCTGTTCCAAAAAAGCTAGAATGTAAGAGTTTTTACTACGATAACCTATTTTCCCTTCATGATATCGAAGAAAATTTCAAAACTAGTAGATTCTTGCATGTACTGGAACAGGGCAATTGATTTAATTCGAATTAGTAATGAATGAATTACAACTAGCCTGTCGAAAAAATTGAACTTGTGTTTATAAAGAAAAAATATTGGGATAATGGAAAAAGCTAAGATGTATTCGGAGATCAGAAGCAAATTAAGATCAGGGGCCATGCTCAGATTATTTTGATACTTTTATCACTGGTAAGTGTTTTTACTTTAATTCCGAGAAAGACATTTTTTCGTGGTCGAAAACCAAGTTATACGACGCGAATAAACGACGGGATACAAAATCCGGTTATCCGGTTCTACTGACCCAAAACCAAGTTATACGACGCGAATAAACGACGGGATACAAAATCCGGTTATCCGGTTCTACTCACCCAATATATGGGCATCATTTGAAAGTTTATGGGAACGCCTACCCAAATATCTAAGAAAATCCGGTTGTTCGACCCGAAAGTTCGGAAACAAAATCCGGTTCTACTGACCCAGTATATGGACATAATTTGATAGCTTATAGTAATATCTATCCAAATCTCCAAGATATGATGTTCTATTTAATCATTTCGGTAGTAATACAAGGAACTTGACATTTTTTTACCAAAACTTTTTGAAAACCCAAAAAATTGAAAATGGGTCAAAGTTTAGACTTAGTCTTAACTTTTGCCTTTCTAAGATGGTGCAATTTTTGTCGATATCTTTTGTAGCTTTCATATGATACCCATATCGTATAAATCGGTTCAATAGAACCGGATAAATCCCGGATTTTGTATTCCAACTCGGAATCTTTGTCTAAATCAGGGTAAAGAATTGAGGCTAACCTGAGCATAGTCCCTAAAAACTCGACATAAGCTGATGATATTGTGGTGAAGACTGAGGTGACAGTCCTTGCCCGAATCACATTAACATGGATCTCTAGACCCAAATAATTGTACTCACTGCGCAACACATTCTGCAAGAATCGATCCTTCATCTACAATTTAAAACGACACAAGTGCCATAAGACCAGCTACTGTGATCACAGCCCCTTACAGGGATTTTTTGACCTCTTCGGAAATACAAGCAGCACAATCCGGAATGATCCAGTTATATCTTACCCAGCAATATATTCTCAATTCCTTCTAAACTGAAGAACAGATTATATATATATATTTTTTTTTTTTTTGGAACATTCAGTAAACGGATTGAGATGATTTCTAGAGTGAATGGAGTACTTGGTCACAGGTTCCGAATTTCATCGACAAATGAGTTTTTCCAAAAGGATTTCCTTTCAACTGCTAGCAGATGTCGTTATTAGAAGAAAAATAATTTCAAAAAATTGTTTTTATTTTCTTAGAAAATAGTTTGTTTTTTCATCATATTTGTTTATTATCTTCTTTCTTTAGGTCTTTAAAGAAAAAAACGTACTAAATAACTATTCAGAACATGTGTGTGTGTTATGTCAAGAGTAAATATGTTTTATCAAATTTACTTCTTGGCAGCGCCCTTCTTGACACCCTTAGCCTTCAATTCGCGAATGCGATCACGTTTGTCCTTCTTGAGTTTACGGACGGTACCATCTTCCTTGGTACGCTTCTTCAAGGCGTTGAAGGCAATGGTCAACAACTTGTTGCGTTGACGCTTGGCATAACGCAGCTTGAAGCGATCGAAATCGTTCAATTGGGAGCGCTAAAAATAGACAAAACAAAATTTATAAATTACAAACTCTCGCGAGCATACAAAACCAACAATGATGTGTAATGAATTTGGTTTTCGTTTTCAGTTAATAAAATAAATTAGCTTCATTTATGTATCAGCCGGCAATTCCTATCAAGAACTTTCATTATCATCATGTTGATTGGGATCCAAATTTATATTCGAAATTAAGAAGCTATTTTCTCCCAGCCACAACAGTACATACCTAAAAGAAAAGAAACAAAACAAACAATTAGTAAATAAAACAATGCATTTTCTTGCAACAAGCCATGATAATGAAAAAGATTTTCAGTTAAAATGAAATTAGCTTCATGTATGTATCAGCCGGCAATTCCTATCAAGAACTTTCATTATCATCATGTTGAAGAATGTGGTAATATTTGTATACACATTTGATTGTCAACATACCTTGCAAATGTTTTGAGCCTTGGTGGACCAGGGACTAACTTTCCATTGGGCCTTCAAGTCACTTTCGGTCCATGCCTTGCGGACAACACGTGTGGGGGCAGTGAAGGGGAACTTGATGCGGTACTTGGTCAAGTGCAGATTGTTCAATCTGTATTCTTGGCGGGGGACACCAGTCAAGGGACCATCAACGAGAACCTAAACAAAACATTACAAAAAATTTAAATTCAATCACATCATAAATCCCACAGAAATACATTCAATATGGCTTCATTGTTTTGTTTATTTGTTGGTCTCAGTAATTATGGTAAAATAGCTTCAGTTATGTATCAGTTGGCACTTCCTATCAAGAAGCCAATAATCATCATGATCACAAATAAACAACAACAAAGCCACATCTCATGGTCTTCATGTGAAAAAAACTTACCCTGTTTTGGTCAATCACGTCGACAATGGCGACGAGACGTCCCTTCAAGGGACCAGCCGAGCATTTCGCAATGCGACCAGTTTGTACAAATCTTTGGAAGGGCTAAAGTAAAAAAGAAACAAAAACACTCATTATTATTACTTCTTCCACGAAAAAATCGAAAAAATTTTCACATTTTTGTAATGCTGTGGAATGAAATGCTATCAAGTCCCGCGGAATCCAGCAAACACGTTGTGCACGCACTTTGTTCTTCTTTTGACACATTGTCAGCTGTCAAACGAGCTGGCTCACTTGCACACTCGGGTCTATCAATTGTTTTTCACACATTCGCATGCATTATTTACACAAATTTTACATTGTTTTACGTATTTTTCAATGCCGCACCATTTGCACATATATTTTTAAAGGACTTGCAACATTTTTCCACACATTTTCATAAATTTTCACGAAGAAAAAATTGAAAACATTTCTTACCATGACTGCTAACCGGAAAGAAAGAAATGTAAAAGAGCGAGAGCAAAAGAAAACGCCATCTTCCACAAAATTTTCTAGCAGTTTTATTGTAGAAGATTATACTAATGGGCGTTGTTACACCGCATCTATGTACAGAGTTGTATTTTTGAAGTCATTTTTAGAAGTCAACGAAATGAGAAGGCATACACATTTTTGATCATGTTTGCTGTAAAGTGATCTGATTAATTTGAGGTAAATTTTATAAGTAAATGTATCTATTAGATCGTGAAGGGAAAATTGCCAGGGTAAAGACGTACAGCATAGGTATTTTTAGAATAGATCGAGATGCATAATTGATGTATTAAAATCATAAAAGCCAAAGGAAGGTGAGTATACATAAAGGTGCAGATACATAGAAGTAGCGTTCTATAAAAAGGTACGACAGCTTCGTCAAACTGCAGGTCAGCTATGTCTGTATCCTATCAATCGATCCTAGATTTTAAAAATATTTCGTTTATATTTTTTAAAACAATAAATGCATACAAAAAATTTGCAGAAGTCGGGCACACTTAAAAAATGTAAAAGATTAAACTTTTTTATTTGGAGTACATAAATGCTAGAATACACAATGGGATTTTTTTGACATCGTCATTTGTTTCCTGTATTTGTTTGCAGTAATCGAAAATATTTTTTTTCACTGGATTCATCATAATCTCTTGAGGTGGGTTACATAAAGGTGGAAGTACATAAAGAGCTTTTTTGCCTGGCATGTCATCGGCTGGCTTCTTCGTAAAAGAATAAAGAACCTAATGCGAAAATCGAACTAAGTCAACATAAAACTTCTTTGTTCCTCTACGAAGAAGCCAGTCAATGACTTATGCCAGTCAGAACAGCTCTTTATGTACTTCCACCTTAAAACGCTTTTTTGACTGGATTAAGTCATCGGCTGGTTTTATGTATTCTCACCTTTATATTCATTTTCATTAACACTGGAGTACAGCCTTGTGTTTGTATCCAGAGGATCCTCAACTTGTCCTTCTGCAGTAAGATGATCTTTGAACAGTCCAAAAACAAGCCATCGGCACTCTTTTTCGTAAAAGATCAAAGGATTGTATGGCTGAATAAAGGTTAGAATACATAAAATGCTTTGTGGACTGGCAAAATCGAACTAATAGTTCCCATTATAATCTTCAAATGCGAAATTTAAAACAATTCCGGCGAATAATGTTTCTAAAGTAATCAAAATAACGAATAAAGGGAGGTTCTGTTATATCGGGGCTTTACGAAGACGTGGAACTTCGTACGAAAATTTTTGTATAGATTGTACTACCCTTTACAAACTTCGAATACGACATTTCAAACAATTCGGGTTAATGATGTCGCTAAAATCATCAAAATACCGAAATTAGGGCTATACGAAGAGGGGACCTGCATAGGAAAATTTTAGTCATAAGCTGTAGTACCCATTACAAACTTCGAATATGAAATTTGAAAAAAATCGGGTGTATTATGTCGCTAAAATCATTAAAATACCGAAAATACCGGAGGTACCGTTATATGTGGGCTATACGAAGACGACATGGCCCATCTCATTTTCTTCAAAAGATAGCGTAATTAAAACCTATAGACAGACGGACATCGCTAAGTCCAGAATATATATACTTTGTAGGGTCTATCATGAATATTTCGAGGAGTTACAAACGGAGTGTCAAAAATAGTACGTTTACGCTGTAAAGGTTTAAATTGTCCATTCCATTTCATATACCTCAAATAAATCTTCATAAAGAAGGTTACAGTACGTTTATATATATGAGGGTTAACCCACTGGATTTGGATTTAAATTATCATATCCATTATGCTAGGAACACAATTGGAGCGAACGACGAATTTCGCCCTACGCGGCGACAAAATGAGCCGCGAAAATTCGTCGTATGGAACACAATACCGACGAAATTATAAAACAGCTGATGAAGTTGTTTACTTTTTGCTCATTTGTTGACTACAATGAATTATACAAGAACACATAATTCTTTACGTTCTCTATTATAATTTCACTTATGTCCATCTTCTCTATTATAAATGCACTGATATCCATCTTCACTCAGGCGCATGTACACAAATAAATAAACAAATTAATTATGTTTTTTTTATACGAGTAACAGATAGTAGAGTGACCATAACAAATTTTAAAGTAAAAAGTAACTTTATTTACTAAAACACATAAAATTCGTACAAGTATGGCCACCTTGCTGTTTTGTTCGCCGGTCGCCGGCGTATGAAATAGAAATAAAGCTAATTGAGTTCGCGGCGACCGACGAAATTTTCGCCGGTGCCGTGATTGTGTGCACTTCCATATACACATATGTGTTTTATTTTTGACGACGAACATACGCCGCGAAAAAATTCGTCGTTCGCTCCAATTGTGTTCCTAGCATTACTTTTACTTCAAATAAATCCTCTCAAAGTAGGTTAACCCTACAAAAGGTTCTAACGTAAACATGGCATTAAACCGGAAAAATGCTCTAACATAAACATGCCAAAACATGGAGTGTACAAAAATAGCAGCGTCGCCATCTAATTTTCACATTTTACCAGTTTTCATTCAAATACTTTCTGTGAAAAGCAGTTCTCTCGGAGCTAATTTAATATTTTCTAAATATTATTAATAAGAAAGAACGACAACACAATTATTTTCTTTTATCTTGAATTCAATTCCTCTAAAATCTTTTAATTTTTCCTACATATCTTATTTAATCTCTTACAATCGTCGAAAATACAACCATGTTATTGCATTTGACAATTGTTAATAATATAGTCAATTATCGACCTATATATCCCCAAATCGCACGTGTAAATAGTGGAAACATTCGTTACTGCCGGAGATCTATTAAAATTACAATTTTACTTAAAATTCTTAATAGACTAAAAGCACAACATGCCAGAAGATGAAGGAGCTGATAAGAAGAAATCTCATCGTGCCCGCCAATCCGGTGTTAAGGCCGAGAAGAAGAAATTAAAAGCCAAAAAAGAGTCAAATCAAAAGGAGCCAACATTGACTGCACGGCAAAGAAACCCCAAAGCCTTTGCCATTAATTCGGCTATCAGTGCTGAAAGGAATTTCCGACGCAAAGAAGATTTAACTGCGAAGAAACAACATATTCCGGTGGTGGACCAGACACCAGATGAACCACCGCCAGTGTTAATTGCAGTTGTCGGTCCACCCAAGGTGGGTAAAACAACGTTGATAAATAATTTGATTAAAAGTTTTACCCGGACAAATGTGAACGACATCAAGGGTCCCATTACCATTGTAACGTCCAAGAAGAGGCGTATTACCTTGCTGGAGTGCAATAATGACATTAACTCCATGATTGATGTGGCAAAATGTGCCGATTTGGTGTTGCTTATGTGTGATGCCAGTTATGGTTTTGAAATGGAAATATTCGAATTCTTGAATATTTGCCAGGTCCATGGTATGCCTAAGATTATGGGTGTTCTTACACATTTGGATATGATTAAGAATACCAAACAGCTGAGGAAGAGAAAGAAGGAGTTGAAACATCGTTTCTGGACCGAGGTGTACGATGGAGCAAAATTGTTTTATCTTTCCGGTTTGTTGCATGGTGAATATCTCCGCAATGAAATCAAGAATTTGGGACGTTTCATATCCGTGATGAAATTCCGTCCGTTAACATGGCGTGGTGCCCATAGTTATTTGGTTGTGGATCGTGTTGAGGACATCACCAATACAGATGTTATACGCCGTAATCCTAAGTGTGACCGTGATGTAGTGCTGTATGGCTATGTTCGTGGTGTGCCACTGAAGCAGGAACATATGGTGCATATTGCGGGTTTGGGTGATGCACGCATCGATGAGTTGAGTGCAATTTCAGATCCTTGTCCCTTGCCGGGAACTGAAAAGAAGAGAACGCTCTTGGAGAAGGAACGTCTGCTGTATGCCCCCATGTCTGGTGTGGGTGGTATAGTGTATGACAAAGATGCAGTGTACATTGAGTTACAAGGATCTCACAGCCACAAAGACAAGACGGCAGAGGCCACTGAACAGGAAGAGTTGGTGGGCAAGCTGATTGGCAAAAAACAAACAGTGGATGAACAAATCGATGAGCAGGAATTCCGTTTGTTTTCTGATGGTGCTGCCATTAAATCCAAAGATTTTGTGCAAGAAGATGAGATGGCCAGTGGGAATGAAGATGACGAGGATGATAACTCTGGAGAAGAGGTAAGTTGTTCGAAAAATTGAATTTAACATTTTTACTAAATTAGATTTTCTTTAGGATGATTCTGGTGTTGATGACGACGATGATGATGCAGAAGAGGAGGGTGAGAGTGATGATGAATTTGCTGGTGATGACTGGCGTAATGAAGATTCTCAAAACGAATCCAAAAATATGGACTCCGAAGAAGAGTCCTCAGATGATGATGATTATCAGGATTTGGAAAAGTTGAAGAAATCCAAAAATCGTTCAGCTTCAAGCGATGAGGATGGTGAAGGCGATGAGGAAGGGGAGGAGGACGAAGAAGAGGCAATTATTGCCAATAATATGAGTTGGAAAGAAAATTTGGCGGAAAAGGCCAGAGATGCCTTCCTCCAGCGTCATTCCGAATCTAAAAATCTAATGCGTTTAGTTTATGGCTGTTATACTCAGAGTGAACGAAAAAAGACTGCAGAAGAAAACAGTGATAACTCGGCCGAAGAGTCGGAAGATGAAGATGCCATTGGTGGCCTATTCAAGGTAGCAGCCAAAAAGCAGACTGAACTGCAAAAAGATAAGGACCTGCGCGACAAATTTGAGTCATGTTTCTTTGATGACAATTTTGGTAAGTTTTAGATGGCCAAATAATTTTACGGATTTTAATTTAATGTTCTTTTGTAGAAAGCACACGTAATTGGCTGGAGGATTCGAATAAGGACTTGATACGCAATTGTTTTGTTACGGGAAAATGGAAGGCCTCGGAAGATGCTGAAAATCTGCTACGTCTGGATGATATGAGTGATGCCGATAGTGAAGTATATGGCGACTTTGAAGATCTTGAGACGGGGCAGAAACAAAGCGGCAAACCTAAAGAGGAAGAAGAGGACAATCAAACAAAGGAACCAGAAGCAGGCAGTGAAGCCCTAAAACGTAAAATGACCCGCGTTGAAGAGGAAAATCTTACCAAGGCCGAAATTATGGCCAAGAAACTGAAACTTAAGGCCAAATTTGATGCTGAATACGACAACAAGGGGGAAAAGGAAGAGGATGATGGTCGGATTAAGGGTGACCATGACTACTATGAAAGCCTTAAGGCTGAGGCCCAAAAGCAGTCACAGCTAAACAAAAGTGAATTTGAGAATTTGGATAATGATTTGCGTGTACAAATCGAGGGTTACCGGGCTGGCATGTATGTCCGTTTGGGATTTAAGAATGTTGCGGCTGAATTCATAGAGAACTTTGATCCCACCTATCCGGTGCTTGTTGGTGGCCTAAATATGGCCGAGGAAAATATTGGCTATGTCAATTGCAAGGTTAAGAAACATCGTTGGTATAAGAAGATTCTCAAATCAGGAGATCCTCTCATCATTTCCATGGGTTGGAGACGTTTCCAAACAGTGGCCGTCTATGCCAAAGTTGAAGATAATTTCCGCCATCGATATCTCAAATACACCCCTGAACATGTTACCTGTAGCATGACTTTCTGGGGTCCCATAACTCCACAAAATACCGGTTTCCTGGCCCTGCAAACTGTGCGTCACGACCAAGAGGAACTGAAACGCATAGGTTTTCGCATTGCTGCCACTGGTTGTGTTACCGAATTGGATAAATCCTGCCAAATTATGAAGAAACTTAAACTTGTGGGTCATCCATTTAAGATTTATCAAAAATCTGCCTTCATCAAAGGCATGTTTAATACCAGCCTAGAGGTGGCCAAGTTTGAGGGTGCCAAAATAAAAACAGTTTCCGGTATCAGAGGTCAAATTAAAAAGGCCCATCACACACCGGAGGGTTCGTTTAGGGCCACCTTTGAAGATAAGATTCTGTTGAGTGACATTGTCTTCTGTCGCACCTGGTTCCGGGTGGATGTACATCGTTTCTATGCCCCCGTTACAACGCTGTTACTGCCACCCGAACAAAAACTCCATTGGCAGGGTATGAAGACGCTGGGTCAACTGAAGCGAGAAAAACAAATTAAAAATGAAGCCCAGCCGGATAGTTTGTATACCGAAATCAAAAGACAACCCAAAGTATTTCGTCCATTGGTCATACCCAAGAGTTTGCAAAAGGCATTGCCTTATAAGGATAAACCTAAGATGGGTCCTTTGACACCGGCCGAGAAGGCTGAACGTGTGGCTGTTATACGTTCACCACACGAACAAAAGGTGGCCAAATTGATGAACATGATCGAAACCAATTACCAAGAGAAACGTAACAAGGATCGTCATGAAACCAAATTGCGTGTCAAGAAATTCAAACTGCAAAAACGGGCTGAGGAGCTGTCCAAATTGAAACGACAAAAGGAGTTGCGCAAGAAAGTCTCAAGGGCCCTCAGTAAAATGAAGAGTAAACAGAAAACATAAATACCATAAAAAAAGGTAATTTTGTTGTTCCATGTAATGTTTCCTTTTTCCCTCTGCACCCAGATCCAGTATGGGCGCGGTTGTAGTTCAATTAATTTAAGTTTTTTAGTTGCTAGTTTTATTTGTATAAAGAAATGTTTATAATTAAAAAAATAAAGTACGAAACAAAGCCTTTTTGGTAATTTAATCCTGACTATTGTTGTCCTCAATGGCCTTTAGGGCAGCCAAGAGCTTATGTTTGCGACTGCCAACGACATTACGTTCAACGGCAATACTATTTCTTTTCTTTGGGGTATCTTCTTTCAGCGCTCCACTGGTTGCCTGGCGACAAAACGTATCGAGAAAGGCCTCACGTTCCTTGTAATCATCGGATATTTGTTTCCGTATGCTGGAGATTTCCTCTTTCATGCGAATTTTCTTGCCTGCGTTTGGAAGCTGAAAGGTACAATCTTTTATTAGATTTTTTTACAAATAAATGGCAACAAGTTAAATAGTATCTATCGGTTTTAACGACAGATGTATACCCCCCAGCCTGTTCTAAATGATGACCTTCTATGGGGGAGTTTCCGAAGCTGTTGGCCAATATTGTCCAATTCGTATCTGACCAAAGTCAGATATAAATATTACAACCTGCCATATTTGCATGTGTGAAATTTGAAGAGAACAGGATGCATATTTCGGATTTTATGATCGTTTTTGGTATTCAAAACTTTGACCCTTTGTGTGGCAGGTAACAGATAGGATCCGGTCACTACCACCTTTATATTAGATCTTCTGTTGATAGAAATATTGAGATTTGCCAAGTCTCACTGGAATCGGACGGTAATCTCCCGTTTTATGAGCTTCATGGATACTCAAAATTTTGACCCTTTGTGGGGGAGGTACCAGAAGGAGTGGACCGATATATCCCATCTTCACAGCAGATCTTGTGTTAGTAAAAAAAAATGGGATGTGTGAAATAAGAAGAGAACCGGGTGCTTATTTCGGATCTAACGATAGTTTCGTTTATTCTAAACTTTGACCCTTTGTTAGGGAGGTACTAGAAGGAATGGTCCGATCTCTACAATTTTTATAGCAGATCTTGTGTTGATAGAAATATTGAGATTTGCCAAGTGTCAATGGAATCGGATGCTAATTTCCCGTTTTATGAGCTTCATGGCTACTCAAAACTTTGATCCTTTGTGGGGGAGGTACCAAAAGGAGTGGACCGATATATCCCATCTTCACAGCACATCATGTATTAGTAGACATAATGAGGTGTGTGAAATAAAAAGAGAACCGGATGCTTATTTCGATTTAATAATAGTTTCGCTTATTCGAAACGTTGACCCTTTGTGGGGGAGGTACCAGAAGGAATGGTCCGATCTCTACCATATTTATAACAGATCTTGGGTTGATGAAAATATTGAGATGTGCCAAGTCTGAATGGAATCGGATGTAAATTTCCCGTTTTATGAGCTTCATGCACACTCAAAATTTTGACCCTTTGTGGACCGAGTATATCCCATCTTCACAGCAGATCTTATGTTAGTAAAAATAACAGGACGTGTGAAGTAAGAAGAGAACCGGATGCTTATTTTGGATTTTATGATCGTTTCGGTTATTGAACCTTTGTGGGGGAGGTACCAGAAGAAATGGTCCGATCTCTATCACCTTTATAAAAGATATTGTTTTAATGGAAATATTGAGATTTGCCAAGTCTCAATGGAATCGGATGGTAACTTCATGCTTTATGAGCTTCATGGGTACTCAAAACTTTGATCCTTTGTGGGAGAGGTACCAGAAGGAGTGGACCGATATATACCGTCTTCACACCAGACCTTGGTTTAATAAAAGAATATTGTGATGTGTGTAGTTCCCAATCGGACTCTTACATCACATCTTATAAAAGTTATAATTATTCAAAATTTTGACCCTTTGTGGGGGAGGTGCTTGATGGAGTGGACCGATATTGTCCATTTTTGCACCTGACCTAGAACTGATGCAAGTATTAGGATTTGCAAAGTTGGAGCAAAATCGTATTATTCTTTCTCTTTCTGTGCAGCAAAATATTTTTTTTTGAAAATGTCGACCTTTTGTGGGAAAGGTACCAGAATGAGTGGACCGATATTGCCAATCTCCGAACTGGGTCTAATTTTGATAATAATATTACGATGTACCAAGTCTGGACCTAATCACACACACACAGACGGACGGACATCGCTAGATCGACTCCAAGTGTACTGAAACGGATTTGGTCCAAAGAGTCCTAGGGTCTAAAACCGTTATTTCGTTGGGGCAAAATAACCAAATAATTGAAATGAGAATTTCATAAAACAAAAGTTAGCGTTGGTAGGAAGAGGTATTGGGTAGAAAACATATGATCTGATCCAGAACTGTAAGAATGTAAATGTTTTTGCTACTATAACCGATTTTTCTTTTAAGAAATCGGAATAATTGGCAAACTAGTAGATTATTGTAGGTTCCATGATTCAAATATAAGTTTTTCTTTCATAAATTCATTTTCTTAATTTCAATAGCTCAAGTGTCTAAAATTTACCTCCACTTTTTCTTGTTCCTTAAAGTAATCCCCATTGTCTTCGTATAAATCTTTTTCCAAATGTTTATCGATATTATTCATAAAATGTCCCGTTTCATTGCTATCATCTTGAATCGAATCCTTTGAGTCCTCTTCATTGGATGAATTCTGTTCTGCGGTATCGTCGTCTTCCTCTTCATCCTGTTCATAATCATCTTCATATTCCGTGGAGAATGTCTCGGTTTTCTTTTGCTCCATTGGATGATGATTTGCCATCGTTTTCTTTTCTGAATGTTGTGCCTTACCAGCATCGCCATCTCCCTGATCAATACGCCGCAGTATGGCAATCGTCTTACCAGAATGATTTTGTTTGCTTGCATTTGAAGGTGGACTTGTCGGATCACAATTACCATTCAGTGACATCTTTTTAACTGTACGATTGGAACGCTGAGTCACAGTGTGATTGCTCTGTGTTGATCGTTGTGATCGTTGGCTGTTGGAACCTTCGAAATCATCAATCTGTTCTCCATCACCTCCGTGAAATATTAATTTTTCCAATTCTTTATCGTCTTTCTGATCTTCGTGGGAGTTGACTTTGTGACGTCGGGGTATATTCATATTGAATTTATCTTGAAGCTGAAAATATGTGAAATAATTGGATTTTTAGTTTCGAATAATTAAATTTTCCAAAGTGAAATGGGGTCCTGAAAACAAGAGTTTCCCATTTAAGAAATGTACGTGGAATGGGTAAAATTTTGACACATTTTGTTATAAATTACTTTTAATATTCTGAACGGCGAAGAAAATTTGGTATTCAACACAGAAACATATAAAATCTGAAGCCGAACAAAATTGAGAACCCGCTCAAAAACAATTAAATGAATCGCTCGCCTAAAATCAAGAAGTGAAATGTTTTCAAATAAGTCTATGGACAATTCATGAACCAGATATGAAAGGAAAACAAATTGTCAGACCATAACAAGAGAAGCCCAGATCAAGGCCCCCTTTAGTTACGAAGGGAAACATTACAAAGACAGAAATGGTAGCCAAAAAAGATGAAACTAAATGACGAATTTGATGCCATATTAAGGGCCCACATAACTATTCAATGAAATAAAGGCGAATTGAAGGTTAACGTGCTGTCATGTAGCCAGTTAGAAAATCATCGATGGAACTCATGCACTGCTAAGGTAAATTTATCAATTCTACCCAACGATGTGAGCTGTAAGGAGGATCGACTTTGATAATTCTTCTGCAATCATCATTTTTATACCCTTAATCATAGTTTGGAGGGTATATTAAGTTTGTCATTTTGTTTGTAACACCTCGAAATATACATTTTAGACCCCACAAAGTATATATTCTTGATCAGCATAAAACTCAATGTCGATTTAGTGATGTCCCCCGTCTGTGGAAATCACTCTAGCTTCCGAACGAAATGAAGTAGGCTAATAAAATTTTACTTAAATGTATATTATGTCTGCAGGACTTTTGTTATTGAAAATGCGCCATATAGGTCCACGTTTTGGTATAGCGCCCATATAATGGTGCCTCCCTATTTTCGGTACTTTGGTGATTTAGGCGACATTATTCACCGGAAATGTTTCAAATTTGGTATTTGAAGTTCATAATGGATACTACAGCCTAAGACAGAAAATTGTTTGTGCAGGTCCACGCCTTCGCATAGCCCCATATAACGATACCTCCCGATATTCGGTATTTTGGTGATTTAAGCGGCATTATTTACCGGAATTATTTCAAATTTTGTATTTGAAGTTCGTAATGGATTCTACAGCCTAAGACAGAAAATTGTTTGTGCAGGTCCACGTCTTCGTATAGGACCATATATAATGGAACTTCCCTTTTCGGTATTTTGGTGATTTAAGCGACATTATTTACCGGAATTATTTCAAATTTCGTATTTGAAATTCGTAATGGGTACTGCAGCCTATAACAAAAATTTTTGTATGCAGGTCCACGTTTTCGTATAGCCCCATATAACGGCACCTCCACATATTCGGTATTTTAATGATTTTAGCGACATTATTTACCGGAATTATTTCAAATTTCGTATTTGAAGTTCGTAATGGGCAGTACAGCTTATGATAAAAAATTTCGTATGCAGGTTTACGTTTTCTTATAGCTCCCATATTACGGTACCTATCGATATTCAGTATTTTCATGATTTTAGCGACATTATTCACCGGAATTGTTTTGTATTTTGTATTGGAAGATATCAATGGGTACTACAACCAATGGAAAAAATTCTACTTGCAGGTCCACGTCTTCGTATATCTCCCATATAATGGTTTTCATTTAAGTGGTAGTTTTCGGATTTCTTGGAATTTTTAAAGTTCTTTCCCAATGGTGGAGTGCACTTAACAATTGCTTTTTTATTTTGCTTTATTCTTTTTTATATACCCTGCACCACCTTTCCTTACTGGTTGTACTTTGAATCTTCGTATTTTGTCCAAAACAGAAGCTCTGTGGAAGCGACGGAAGCAAAAACGTCTCAGAGTAGATTGTAGATAAATAGCTTGCCAAAACGATTTTCGGAATGTTACGTTTAATTCTTAATTTGAGACGAGTTGTGGTCAGAGGACTGTTCTTCCACCCAGTAGGAATAGTTTCGAGTAGAAGAGTGTCCTGTTCAGACAGGAATAATTCAATCAATTCTAAGACACCAATTGCGATTTGGAGTTGAACGATTTATTCAAAGTCTCTATCCTCAACGGTCAACCCCAAGTCTATTAAATTGGCACGGTACGAAAAAATGTAATTCCGAAGTTCGGAAGTATCGATAATTGGTCCAAGAAAAGAAACAAGAAGGAAGGCAATGTTTCTGGAAACAGCTGGAGATCGAGGGGGTCTATCTCTCAGGAATTTTTGAATAATGAACTGATGTGAAAACCGTTGGCCTAGTAGAACGATTTATTCCGGACTGTCATATATTCGGTAGATGCTGATGCCGATTTCTCGTAATAAAAATAAATAAAATTGTTCCATATAAAATTTTCTAAATTTGTGATTTTTAAATTACCTGTAGCTCCTCTAATTTTCGAAATCCTGACAACTCCAGACGTGCCTTTTCCAATTTCATTAGAACTTCCTTGGTTTTACGTTGTTCAGCGAGCAATTGCTGTTTAGCCTGTTTGGATTCCAGTTGCATTTTGCGTGCCATCATTTTTAAATCGTTATCCTTTTCCTGCAGACGCGTTTCCAGCGATTGAAGTTTTTCTGTGAGTTTTTGACGATCTTCAAGATTTCTGAAAAGGGAGTTGGAAAAATATTAAGGGTTTAAGGTAAAATATGAAAATAAAGTCATGCATCTATTTAGATTCGAGATTTTTAATGAAAATTGAACAAATTTGAGAGAAAATGGTTATAAATTTTCGATTTTCTTGCAATTTTGCCCATACCAACATTTTTATCTGTGAAAATGGAATACTTCTGTCAACTATATCTGGTACCTCACGCATATTTCAACATTTTCTAAAAATTACCACATATTTCATATAAAGTGAAGGACGTAGTCGATATAGTCTAAACCTGGCACGTCGCAATATTTATATCTTATTTATTTAGGTCCGATACGAAATGGACAATACTGGCCCATTCCTTCGAAACCTACCCCATAGAGGTTCAACAATTTTGCAAAAACAGAAGTCAAAATATATTTAAATAATCGAAAATTGGCTGAGGGTATACATCTGTTGGCAAAATCGACTGATACTTTTTAATTTGTTTTGAAATGTTGAAAATGTTGACATTTTGTGTGGGGAGGTACCAGAAGGAATGGACCGATATTGCCCATCTCCGAAGTCGATCTATGCTTGACAATAATATTACGATGTACCAAGATTGGATCAAATCGGATAGTCCCTTTGAGAGTTATCATGCCCACCAGCCAGACAGACCAGCGGACATCTCTAGATCGACTCCAAATATCCGGAAATGGATTTAGTCCAAAGAGACCTAGGGTCTGAAACCGTTATTTCAATGAGGCTCTATAGCCATATGACTGAAGGTATAAAAATGACTTGAGACGTATTACGTCTAAAGAGACAAGGGACCTACTTTTTGACCGTATCAAAATATATAGATATGACTTAGGGCTGAATGAAATTCCCTACTTTTTATTTATGGTATTATGACTTTGTGCATTTCTTTGTAACAGGCAAAAGAAAACGAGATAGATCGATAGTTCCTTTTGATGATCTGCATAGAATCACATTCTGAGTCGATTTATGCATATCTGTCCGTCCATCTGTCCGCCCGTCCGTCCATCTGTCCATGTATTTTTGTAAACAAGGTACAGTTCCCATTTATTGCCCTATCCAGATGAAATTTTGCACAAATCATTTGTTTGGCCCAAGGACGAACCCTATTGAAATTGGAGATAATCGGTCAAAATTTAGATATAGCTCCCATATATATCTTCGTCCGATTTGCCTTTTATTGTGCACCAAACGTGTAATATCAGCCCGAATAGTATGGAATTTTGCATATACAACCAAATTAGGTCTTAAAATAAGTATGCCAAATTTGATCGAAATCGGTTCAGATATAGCTTTAGCTCCCATATATACTGTTCATCCGATTTGTTATTTTTGTCCTCCGCAGCCGTAATATGCACTCTGTAACAACAATATTTGGGGAAATATATCAAATACAGCTCAGAAATACATTTGCTAAATTTTATCGAGATCGGTTCAGATTTGGATATAGCTCCCATATATAAATTCGTCCGATTTACCTTTGATTGTGCACCAAACGTCTAATATTTGCCCAAATGGGATGAAATTTTGCACTTACGACCGACTTGAGTCTAGAAGCTAGTACGTCAAATTTGGTGAAGATCGGTTCAGATATAGCTTTAGCTCCCATATATACTGTTCATCCGATTTTTTATATTTGTTACCCACAGCCGTAATATGCACTCCGTAACAACGATATTCAGGGAAATATATCAAATACAGCTCAGAAATATCTTTGCCAAATTTTATCGAAATCGTTTCCGATTTGGATACAGCTCCCATATATATTTTTATCCGATTTCAAATTAATTGTGCATGGGCAATACAAGTCCGAATTTAAAAGATACAAAAACTTCGGCATATTTAATCCTTTGAACTTTAAATTATAATTATAATCATAGCGTGTATGATTGAATTCTCCATAAAAACTCTACTAAATTAGCAAAGTGGGGTAGGGTATCATAAAGTCGGCCCCGACCAACTTTAAGACATTCTTTACTGTTTTCAATTAAGGACGAGGGTAAAAATCGTTTGTGCCCTGTTCCATTTCCCTCTTACTTACTTATCCTTATTTAATTGTATATAGTACTTGTTTTGATCACTCAAGGACAATATAATCGATTCCTTTTGTTTTAGTCTCTGTTCCAGATCCTTGTTGACAGCCTGTAAGTTGCGATATTTGGTTTGCCACATTCTTAGCTCCTCGGCGTGGGAGTGTAGCAGCTGGGGAAGTTCGGCATTGGTGGATTCATATTTGGACAAGGCGGAGTCCTGGCGTTTGTGTAAAGTTCGCAGAATACGATTTTCATGGGCCAATTCCTGGAAGAAAAGGCAGAACAAATTAGATAAAAAATATGTATGTGTGTTATTCTTACCGCTATAGTTTGCTGGGCATTTGCCAACTGATTTTGATAAGTTTTAATGCGTAACCTTCGAGCCGATAAAACCCGTTGCCTTACTTCATTTGTTGCCGGTATTAAGGCCGGCTGGCGCATGCAACCATTTTTGCCATCCATGGCGACTGGAAGTTTACGTCTATAAATATTACTGGCCGATCCCTTGGAACTATTCGAATACAAACTTTCACAACTTTTCGTTGAGGTTCTGCCAAACGAAGAAAAGAAAATGAAATACAAAGTCTCTTTTTTAAATTCTAGAACTTACGGATTCATAGCTTTACAATTTCCCGAAATAATACTAGAGGCCGAAATAGATTTGCGCGGTGATAACATGGACGGTAAATATTTGCAAAACAAATTCAATAAAATTAGAAAATATATAATATTTTGTTTTATTTTTTTTCCCTTCTCCAAATGAAGTTTCCTTTTGGCCTTTGATGTGATTCGTTATGAAAACATGATTGAAAATTAAAACAAAGTGATTTGACGCTTCAATGCATCTTGTTTATCGTCACCATCGTTGGCGCTGTGGTTGGTGTAGTCATAGTGACCATCCAACACACATTCGATTTCTATGACGTCAATAACACAAAAATAAACAAGAAAAGTGCAATTGTTGCAAATTTGGAAAACAGATGTTGTTTTTCGTAAAACGTTAGACGACTTGGAAACACTTACCCCGGTAAATTAACCGCCAAATTTTCGTTGACATTAGCAGTGCGCGCAAGGACGAAGGAAAGGGATATAACAAGTGCCACACTGCAAGGATGTTTGTTTAAGCAATGGGAAACGTTTATTGCCGGAAATAAGAAAATTGAAAACATTGTAATAATAGCCGTGTTTCATTATATGGATAAATATTTAGAAAATAAATTTTGAATTCTACAAGAACTTCTATAGGTGTCCTATATTTATTTCTACTTTATATGAGATATGTGATGTGAGTTTTTAAAATAAATATTAAAAGGTGCGTGAGGTACCAGACATAGGTGACCGAAGTATTCCATTTTCATACTTCATCTAATACAGATGAAAATATTGGTATGTCGAACATTTATATCCAATATTATGAGAAATCATAAATTCCATATTCATCTCAGGTTTCCGATTAAGAAAAATATTTATATATATCAAGTTGTAGAGAATCGCTGACTTGTTTCGCAAGTTGTAACAGAAAAAAGAATTGCAAATTGTGACCTTTTGTGCGAGAGGTACCAGAAGAAGTAGACCGATATTACGCATCTCCGAACTCGATCTAAGTTTGATAATAATATTGCGATGTACCAAGTGTGGACTAAATCGGATACCCTCTTCGAGAGTTATCGTGCGCACCAACCAGCTAGCCAGACGGACATCGCTCGATCGATTCCAAATGTCTTGAAACGGATTTGGTCCAAAGAGACCTAGAGTCTAAATCCATAATTTCGATGAGGCACGTTTTGGCCGTATCAAATGATATACAGGGTGAGATAAAACTGCAAAAAAGTCAAACGCACTATTTTTTACATTTTTTTTAATTTTATTGAATAAATGCAAAAAATGTCGGAAATAGCATCAAATTTTAGAATAAGTTTAGATTTGTTCGAATTGGTCACCTTTGGCACGAATTATGACCTTCAAACGGTCAATGAAACCGTCACGCTGTCGGAATGTTGCTCTGCGGTATTTTGGTCCATTCGCGGCAAAGCGCTTGTTTGAGGTGACCGACACTCTGGTATTTTTTAGTGCCAACCTTGCTTTCTAAAATACTCCAGACACAACAGTCCAACGGATTGGTATCCGGAGATTTTGGTGGCCATTGTGCGCTGGAAATGAAGCGAGGAACCTCATTTTGTAACCATTCTTGGGTGGCACATGCTGAGTGCGATGGTGCTGAGTCCTGCTGGAATGTCCAAGGTCTGCGGCCAAAATATTTGCGTGCCTTTAATACACCCTCCAAAATATTTTCACGATTATATTCGACATTTTTCTGATGCCACGGTCGATTTATACGAGCGGAGAGCGACCATCGGCTGTTATGGCGGCCCACACCATCACCATGGCCGGCGCTTGAGTTCTGGTGGCCAACCGAAGGTGCACATTTTCAGCTGACCTCTTTGGCAAGTAAACAGAATCATTTTGTTTGTTTACAAACTGCTGGACAACGAATGTTTTCTCATCGGCGACGGAGAAAACCAAATTCGGCAGTTCACCACTTTCGACCAAGCGAAGCAACTCTTTAGCTCTTGTGAGTCTATTTTCTTTCTGTTGCGGTGTAAGTTCTTGCACTTTTTGGAATTTCAATGGCTTTACTCCGAACTCATTTTTCAATATTTGCCGAATGGAATATTGCGAAATGTTCAGCTCACGAGCTATTTTTCGGCCACTGCGATGGTACGAGACACAATAGATTTATTTACATTTAAATGCTGCAGTGCTCTAACGATAGCCACTTGTGGTTTTCCAGCCAAATAAAAAGAAATCACACTATCACGCTTAAATTCCATCACTGATAACTTTTTTTCTGGAAAATTCTGACCAAAGTGCTGTTGTACGCTTGTAAACAATATAATAAGCTGTCACTGGAATAATTTTAACAGCTGTCGGACGAGTGGCTTGACAGCAGTCTGAAGTTGGTTGCAAATTTTTCATCTCGCTCTCTAGCTATATGGCTGAGGGTATAAAAAATCATGACTTTTGTATTTTGATGCTCGCTTTTTAAAAAATTGTCTACAGCTCTTAAAAAATCACCCTTTACTAGCATTAATTTGGACCATTTCGTTCGTTATATTCTATTTGTCAATATCCCAAGAAACGGCAACACTGTTGGCATCTAAACATTGCGTGCTAATTTTAACATATGTCACTGTATGTTATATATTTTCTTTTGTCGTTTAATATTTCTCTGACATTTTGTTTGTGAGTCATGTTCATAACAAACTACCTGACCAATACCCCCACATCAACAACAGTGCTCCACCAACGAAAAGAGGACAAAGAATAGAAAGAAAATTGATATAAACAAAATTCAATTTTACCGCAAGAGAGTAACTGCTACTTACTCACACTCTCATTTGCTCACCTTATTGGGGTCCACAATAAGGCTCCCACTCTTTCTCTCTCTCTCTAGCCATTCATTATTTTCATGATTCTCTGTCCAAGAGAGAGACAATTTTATGTGAATGGTGTTTTGTTGGGCTCCACCAGAGTGTGTTGGAATTTTCAGTCCATCATTTGCTCAGTCTCAGTGGCCGCGTTGCATGTACAACACGTTTTTAACGGTAGAATTTCTATGCTGTGTGTGTTTCGGTAGATTTAGATGAGGAGAGACGGTTTTCTTGTTTGTCTGTCGGTACGTGTTGATTGTACGGTTGGTTGAAGAAGAAGGTTCCTTTCATTCTTCCCTTCTCTCCCAATAAGATAAAAAACAACAACAAAAATATACACAACGTTGTATTAACCGTATGCGGTATATTAAAGAAAAAAAAAATAATAAAACAGGGAAAATCGGGTAAATGCATGAGAAAATCTAAAGAAAAATAGCTATCCAACAGAAAAAAAGAAGGAAAGAAAATTATTATCAAAGAAGGTAGACAAGAAGGAAGCAAAAAATAAAATTAACAAAATAATCTGGGCATTTTATGTAAAACAAACGAAAATATTAAACAAATAAATTGCTGTGAAAGGCAATAACGGTAAAAAGTGTTGGCTTAATAGCGTGAGAGTAGTGGGAAAATCCCACGCACAATTTCGACAGAGCAAGAAAAAACACGCATAAATCAAGCAGCTGGGTTATTGGAAAAGTGGAAAAATCATCAAATAATGCAAAAAAAGTTTTATTAAAGAAAAAATAATTGTGGAAAATATGTAAATAAACAGGAAAATTTTGTGCAAGTGTAAATTGAAAATAGCCGAAATGAAAAACCTCGACCACCAACACCATCACTACCACCTCCATCTGCATTGTCCTCCAGAACAATAGTAACTCGTTACGATGTCGTAATATCTTGGCGTGTTAAAGAAAAGTGTGAAAACCCCCCTCCAAAAAGTGAGAGAGAGGACCCAAGCATGAGTTACTGAGAGAGAGACAGAGAGTACCTGTCACAATTTGGATGCGTGCGAGAATTTCGAGGAAAATTCTAACACTCAACTTTAAAGTGACACATCACAACTTCAAACCACCAAGTCTTTGGATTTTCCTCGAATGAAATGTTAATTGTTTCCCAGAATTTCCATTTCATAGAGGAAAACAGGAAAACTTGTTTGGAATAATATTAACCTTTACGTAGAGGCGACTTAGTTGGAATCTTAACATTGGCCTTTTTGGTGGGGAGGGTATAACAAGAGGCCACAAATTAAATAAACAAAAACAAATCATAGAACAAAAAAGAAACAACAAAGTAAAAACAACAACAAAGAATGGCGGCATTGCGCTTAGTCATCCATAATTAATATATACATTAAATTAAGAGTAGCAGTGGTATCGGGACTGGTTGACTGACTGACTAACTGTGGTGCTGCCTGACAGCCGCTGCTGATGTTGATTCGTTATGAGATACACCAACGACAACAGCAACAATAGAACACGTTTAATGACACAAGTACACACACCATGTATCTCAGAGATGCTCTTTGTATTTCAAACAATTCGGAGTACTACAAAAACAACAACACACCCAAAATCTCGCAAAATATCCAAACAAAATATTTTCTTTTGCTGAAAAAAATGAGCTGCCAAATTTTGTGAAGTTAAGAAAGTCAAAAAAAAAAAAACACAAAACAAAACAAAAGAAACAGTTTTAAGAAAGAAATAAACAAGAAATAAACAGAGGAAAATTAGAACAATCTTTAATAAAAACAGTAACGGTTGACAAAATATTAGACAACAAAGAAGAAGAGAATAATAAAATTTAATTTCAAAGAATAAATGTTATAACAAATCGTATTAGACGAAAAGTAAACGATATTAAAGAGTCTCCCGTTCGTAACAGTGTGTCGCAAAAGTCTACGTACATTTATTGTTTAAAGTCACTAGTTTAAAAAAAAAAAAAAAACAGCAACATGAAAATGCTTTAAAAATTGATTTGGTCTAAATTCTTAAACCAGGTCCAACATTTAATATATTTTGGCTTGACTCTAGTTTAGTAAAAACTTTTCGATTTTTTCTGAAATTTTTTTCCAAAGAAAGGTATTTTTACCCTGATTTTGGGAAACTATTTTTTCTTGGTGAACGGATACGGCACCCTAGATGTATACCCGAAAGCCCGGGTTCAAGACCCGGGTTAGACCCCGGATCCTCTTACCCGATATAGACATTATAGGTATCGCTTGAAAGCGAGAATACCTATCCGAAAATACCTATTTTTAGGGGACGGACCCGGGAGATTTTTGACCTGAAAGTTCGTGTTCAAGACCCGGGTTAGACCCGGAACCACTTACGCGATATGGACAATATAGGTATCGTTTTAAAGCGGGTAAAGAATACTTATCCAACAAGTGGACGCATGATTATGTTATTTATAAGCGGTTCGGAAGTTAGAATCAAATTATCGATTTTTTGACCCCGTTTTTTTTATAAAACCCACAAAAAGGCGAAAAAGGACCCATTATGGGGGTCAACAAAATTGATGCCAGATTATAGCTGACGCTCTTACCTTTCCGAGTCTAGCCCGGGTCTTGAACTCGGCCTTTCGGATCAAAAAATCTGGGGTCCCGGGTCCGTCCCTCAAGAAAAAAATAATTTCCCGCAATTAGGGTAAATACATAATACCTTTTTTGGGTCCAGAGATCAAACGATACCTATACTGTATATAACAGTTAACTGGATCTGGGTATAGCCCGGATCTTGAACTCGGCCTTTCTGGGGTCCCGGGTCCGTCCCCCAAGAAAAAAATAGTTTCCCGGAATCAAGGTAACAATGCCTACCTTCTGGAAAAAAATTCGAAAAACTGGAAGTGTTCTTGTTAAACTAGATTTGTTCCGAGTTCGCTATAGGAATATATTTCTGTCAGAGACTGGAGTAAGGGAAATACGACGGTTGTTTTTTTTTAGCTGTGGTTACCTCGGTTTATTCTGAGCATATATAATATACACGCGAGTGTTGGTGTCTTAACCCAGACCTGAACAGTATTTTAATCTCCGGTGGCTTTTGGCAACTTACCGGACTAGATCAATGTCCAGTCGTTTTTTCGTCGGCTTTTCTCAACTTCCTCCTTTTCCTGGTGGCTTGAAAAAACTTACCTGGTCAGGTTTTTTTATAACCACCACATTGGAAAGGACGTACTTCGTGTGGCGAAACATTGTATGTATAGGTCCACGCTTTGGTATAGCCACCATATAACGGTACCTCCCCATATTCGGTATTTTGACGATTTTTGCCACATTTTTTCATGGATTTGTCTAAAAAGTGTTTTTTGTTGGTTATAATGGGTTCTAGCTCCGGTGGCGAAGCATTACATGTATAGGCCCACATTTTGGTATAACATTTTTTGAGTTCCGTGGGTTTTCAAATTTTGGATCCGTTGTGAGGTAGATACCAGAATTAGTGAGCCGATATATCCCATCTTTTAAAAGAGGGGAGGTACCAAAAGGTGTGTTGCAATATACTCCAATTTCACGAGTTTGAATGAAATCTGTTGCTCATTTCGAGGTTTATCAGTTTCATGATTAATACAAACCCGTTGTGGGGGGGGTACCAGAAGGAGTAGACCGATAGATTCCACCCCTAGATCGACTGTCCACTGTATCAAATGATACACACCCTCTGTAGCCATAAGACTGAGGGTATACAAATTCTACGGAACTATAATACATTAGAGTGAAATTTTTCCACCTACTATATTCCGTTCGGAATCTAGAGTTATTTCCTAAATCGTCGTAGAATAATGTGCTGATCATGAAATATGCAAACTTAATGTACCCTCCATACAATGTAAGCAGGAGGCTATAAAAATACCTGTAAATAGTGCGCATACTTTTGTGATACACTGTACTTTAACTACAACTATTACTTGGTCGCTCCTTTGTAATTGCACGCCTGCTACATACCCACGACATACGATTACGATTCTTTCATATACGCTTCTAAGCACTCGAATATACGTATAGTGGCCATAGATCGTTTTGTAGATATGTTGTATGTCGATATGTCTGTAGTTATGTGTGCGTAGAGTAGTGGTTTGAATTGGATTGTTTTTGTTTTTTTATTCTTCTTTTTTGTTGCTTTTATTTAACAAAGAACAAGTAAAACCTGTTGGCGTTGGTGTTTTGTGACCTCCAGTCGCGTTGTGTGAACGAACACTCCAAAAAAGGCCTGGACAAAAAAAGTGTTGTAGTAGCGAGAGAGGAAGGAGGTAGTAGAGCAGAGGTGGTGGTTGTTGGAGGCCGCTGTTGTTGTTGTTGTTGGTCGTTATATCGAAAGCAACCATACACAGAATAATTTTTCTATTCCATACTCTTAGCTTAGTTTGGAAAGCAGTGTTAACGTTAAGTCGGGTGATTGCAGCAGCACATTGACGGCAAACCAAACAACGATAAAAGCGGCATTTCATTTCATAGCGGCCGCTGACTTGTAACGACAGCGAGAACTCTGAACTATTGCCGCAATTTTACAATTCCTGAAAACAAACAAACGGCAAAGAACAAAACCAACAAAAAAATACGAAATTCCATCCAAAGCCAATTGAAATTGCATCACAAGCTAGCCAGCCGCTAGCCAAGTAGTCATCATCATCATCGTCGTCGGCCACAACAAACTACCACGACGACGTCAGCAACAATAATACACATAATAACAACAACAACGAGTATCACGTCGTCGAGCGACAACATTAACGCATCGCCATCATCATGACACGCCTCACGGAAGAAATGGTCATTGCACGATCCAAACAATCGGATTTAAGCTCTATTAAAAAACTTAATTGTTGGTAAGTTTTGCAATTTTAACAATTTGTTGTTGTTGTTGACGTTTTTTTTGTGAAAATCTAAAGAAGAAACAACGTGACAAGATCCGCTGGAACATAATGGAGTGTAAACAAGCCCATATTTGCTTTTAATGGCTGGGTTTTGTGTCCAAAGTGTGTGGCATCCATCGGATCATGGTCGCCGGTTGTTAAATGACGTTGGCGATCTTTTGTCCAGTTAATGCATTTACCGTTGAATGCAGTCGGTCGGTCGGTAATGCTTCGTTAAATATTTATTTACTTCATTGTTTTGTTTTTGCGTTTTTGTCTTTTGGTGCATAAAATTGCATTTTGTTGTTGTTTTTGTAATTGTTAGCGATAACAACAAAAGAGCGGAGATTGTAAAGCAAATAAGCAATCAGAATTGCGTAACAGTTTACATTTTTTAGACCTGGTGTACAAAGATCAAGTTGACTTATAGGCGACGTATGCCAAGCTTCGTTGAAATCGATGCAAAATTGGTAGGACCAAATAAAGGTCTACAGATATAAGACCTTCGAAAACTTATCTTCCATAGGTATAGGAATTCGAAGAGGTACCCCCATAAATAGTAGTAGACTTCCAGGAGGTCTTCTATTGATTGAATGTCTCTTCTACAGACAGAAGGAAATGAAACAAGTAAAAAATCAGCTAAGTTCCGCCTGGGCGAACTTTTAATCCAACATTTTGAAGGAACTTGAAAAATTTCCAAAAATTTCATCGAAAAATACCGCTCAACGACTATACGAAGACGTGGAGCTGGATGTACAATTTCCGTCATAGGCTGTAGTACAGTTTCCGAACTTCAAAAACGAAATTTAAAAAAATTCGGGTCAAAAAATGTCGCTAAAATCATCCAAATAGCGAATATCGGGGGCTATACGATGTCTTGGACCTATATAGGCAATTCTCCTTCAGAGGGCTAAGTACTCAGAAGGACCTTCTTGTGTGGATTTTCAGACAACTTCATTGAAAATGAGGCTAAAATCATCAAAATACCGAATATCAGGAGGTACTTTTCTCGTGGACCTTATATGTGGTACCGTTATATGTGGCCTATATGAAGACGTGAACCTATAAAGGTTGTAGTACCCATTACGCCATAGGTTGTAGTACCCATTACGAGGTTCACATACGAAATATGAAACAATTCGGTTTTATAATGCCTCTAATAACATATAACTACCGAATAGTGGGAAGAATCGTTATATAGGGACTATACGAAGACGTGAACCGACATGTCACATTTACGAACTTAACCTGCCTACCTCAACTCGTTCAAAAGATGGCGAGATTACAACAGACGGATATCGCTAAATCGCTCTTTTAAAGTAGAAATATCACCCTACAGACCTCCTATTCAAAAGTCTTCCTGAAGGTTGTTCGAAGACAGAAGAAATTTAGAAATTAATATTTAGATATTGGATCTTTGATTAAGGTTCTTTTAAAGATGGAGAACCCCATAAAGATTTTTATTTTTTTTTTTTAAATACCTCCTCAAAGTCTTCTGTAGACAGAATGGGTTTCCTTAATCAGATCGATTTATTGTCGAAATAAGATCTCCAAAACATCTCCAGCTCAGGCCACAAGTCGTATATCGGATGTCTACCTGTTTTACCCTATGGGTGCAATGTCTAGTGGCATGCGATCGCTCATGTCCAAATTACGAACCATACAAAGGACTGCGTTCTTACTGACAACCGGAGCTTTCAATAGCACTCCTCAGACTGAATTAAACGTGATGCAAAATCTCCAACCGCAGGATATTTTCCCTCAGTTTTAAGCATTATGGAGAGCGCTGAAGTTGCGGGAAGCTGGCAATTTCGCATTTTGGACATTCCCGGATTTTGGGTGTCAGAATTAGTGATTACATTAACATAATGATAAATGACAGGGACGAGTGGAGTGGTGGCGAAGCTCTTCTAGGCCTAGATTTTTTTACAGACAGTTCCAAGATGGTTCTGCCCTAATCCACAGAAGATCTTCTTAACTTTGTGATTTTTGTGGAATTTTCAAGAAGAGGTTCTTGCGATGAAGAATGCAACCGAAATGGCAAGAGGGCTTGACAATAGTGTAAGAGGACCATTGACTATGCATATGGATATTAGGCGGTCTTTAAACCTATCGAGTCAAGTGCCTATCGAGTCAAGTGCCATCAAATTTCGGGAAAGCCTTTTGGAAATACAAGACTGCATTAAGCTCTGTTGGGTCCCAAGACATAGAAATACAATTTGGAATGAAATGACCGATGTTTCCCTGTCGACTGATCCAACGATTGATGAGACAGTTAAACCACCGATGAATTATTATATCAGGTATTTCGAAAAGGTCTTCACTAGGGAGGCTGACAGAAGATGACACTTGGAAACCGTTTGTAGGGTACCTAAGGTCGTTCTAACTGTAATCCCTGGAATATAATAGAATCACTGTAGGCATCGACTACTGACAGGCTACTGTAGTATCAGATATCCGACAGATATCTGGATAAGAGTGTGCCTCACTATCTGAGGATGTAAAAAAAAACATGTAAAAAAGCCAAGTTCAGCCGGGCCGAACTTTTAATACTCTTCACCACTTGGGAGGAACTTGAAAAATTTAAAAAAAAGAAAAAAAATTCCGTCGAAAAATACTGCCTAAATGAAAACCGTTATAAACGAAAACGTGAATCTGCATTAGTACTTTTTTATCAAAGGCTGCAGGTCCGTTTCCGAACTTCAAATACGAAATTTGACGGCAATTCAGGCTAATAATGTCGCTTAAATCATCAAAATACCGAATATGGGGAGGTTTCGTTGGGGGCTATCCGAAGACGTGAATCTGCATAAATAATTTTTTGTCAAGGGCTGTAGTACCGTTTCTGAACTTCCAATACGAAATTTGAAATAATTTCGATAAAAAAAATTTCTATAAAATCAAATATTTGAAGGTACTGAATATTTGGAGGTACCGTTATATGGAGACAATACGATGCCATGGACTGTTACACGCAATTTTTTATCATGGACTATAGTAAAATGCCGAATATTGGGGGAAGCCGTTATATAGGGACTATACGAAAACGTGGACCGACATAGCTCATTTACGAACTTAACTTAGTGGCAAAATACGGGTCTATCATGAGTATTTTGAGGAGTTATAAACGGAATGAAATTGTATGAACGGAAATTTGTATATACCCTCCATAGAATGGTGGAGGGTAGAATGGTTTTTAGATAAAATGTCTGGGATACTTCTTATTCAGATTTAAAATCTTAGAAGAGTTTTTATATAGGCAGAACACTTCTGAAAGGCTTTCTTTGATATAAATCTACGAAAAATCTTCCCCAGACATAATGTCTCCAAAAAGCCTTCTTTCGATAGAAGACCTACTTCATTTTTTTGTGTATAGAAGACCTTCAAAAAATATTCTAAGGGTAGAAAACATTCTAGCTTTAAACTTTTAAAATATCTTCTCTAAATGAAAGGCCTACCAAAAGCTCTTCTCAACCCATCTCCCTCCTAAAATATATCATTTCGCATATTACATAATGCCAATCCTTTTGGAAACGCTGCCTCAAACATTTATCATCGTCTTCTCATGTAATTACAAATAGTTGTTCTCTTTAAATGTCTTCGCAAGTTCTGCTGCCACTGCCGTTGTTGTTATTATTGCAGCGGAGAAAAAAATTAATTTCAAATGTTGGCGGGGTGGATCCCCAAACTATTTCTCAGGGTTTCCTCCGACAAAAAATAATTTCTGCTACAAATATGACAAGCGGGAATAATAACAACAAAAGCAAAATAAGAAAACGCCGTATTCATTTCGTAATGTTATGTCGGTATGTTAGCTTGTATGGGTGTGTGCGTATGTATGATTTACAAGTATGTAACACGTAATGAAAATACATCATCGTCGTCAGCGTCATCATCATCACATTTCATGGTTGGCTAGGCAAGACTGACTCTTTGCCACTTAACCTCGCTTCTCCAAGCATGACACACAACAAGCTTTGAGCAAAACATAATGAAATGCTACTGTTCTTGGACTCAAAGTGGATGCGAGGTATGAAAACAAAAAAGGCCGAATAAAGCGGCGAAAATTAATGTAACCAAATAATGTTGATATTAAAGCCACCGAACACAACAAAACAAAAAACCCGAAAACTTGTCATGTTCGTTAACTTGTCGTCCAAGTGAAGGTGGCCCATAAACAAAGCCCTGATAATGTAGGGTGTGTGCGTAACTGCTAGTTACCCATAATAATGATGCAATGGAATAGAAGTACACCACATCCATGTCTGTGAACGACCTGAATCGTTAACAAAAAAAGAAAAAAATACAAAATAATATCTCAAAAACAAAAGAAGAAGGCCTTTCACACTTCTCGGGTGCGTTTTTTTTGTTGTATTTTTTGGTTTAGAATTTTTTTTTCTTTTGGTGGAATCTAGAGCATTGCTTGATACAAATTTGAATAACAGATGTCGGCAATTGCCATTGTACTACTTGCAGCAAATTGTGGAGATTCAAGAGCCCTACTTACATTGAAGTGTAATGGAACAAATTGGAGGAAGGCAAAGAGAGAATTTCTTTGATACTTCTATCCATAGAAGGCCTATAGGAGGTCTTCTATCTATAGAAGACATATATGCGGTCTTCTACCTGTAGAAGACCTATAGGAAGTCTTCCACTATAGAAGACAATTAGGAGGTCTTCTATCTAAAGAAGACCTATAGGAGGTCTTCTATCTGTAGAAGACCTACAAGTGGTCTACTATCTATAGAAGACCTACAGGAGGTCTACTATCTATAGAAGACCTATAGGAGGTCTTCTATCTATAGAGGACCTATAGGAGGTCTTCTATCCATAGAAGACCTATAGGAGTTCTTCTATCAATAGAGGACCTAAAGGAGGTCTTCTATCCATAGAAGACCTATAGGAGGTCTTCCATCTGTAGAAGACCTAAGGAAGGTCTTCTATCTATAGAATACCTAAGGGAGGTCTTCTATCCATAGAAGACCTATAGGAGGTCTTCTATCCATAGAAGACCTATAGGAGATCTTCTACGTATAGAAGACCCATAGAAGGTCTTCTATCAATAGAAGACCTATGGGAGGTCTTCCATCTATAGAAGACCTATAGGAGGTCTTCCATTTATAGAAGACCTAAAGGAGGTCTTCCATCTATAGAAGACCTATAGGAGGTCTTCCATTTATAGAAGACCTATAGGAGGACTTCTATCTATAGAAGACCTATAGGAGGTCTCCTATCCATAGAAGACCAATAGGAGGTCTTCTATCAATAGAAGACCTATAGGAGGTCTTCTACGTATAGAAGACCCATAGGAGGTCTTCTATCAATAGAAGACCTATAGGAGGTCTTCCATCTATAGAAGACCTAAAGGAGGTCTTCTATCTATAGAAGACCTATAGGAGGTATTCTATATATAGAAGACCTATAGTAGGTCTTCTATCCATGGAAGACCTATAGGAGGTCTTCTATCTATAGAAGACCTATAGGAGGTCTTCTATCTATAGAAGACCTATAGGAGGTCTCCTATCCATAGAAGACCAATAGGAGGTCTTCCATCTGTAGAAGACCTAAAGGAGGTCTTATTGGAGGTCTTCTATCCATAGAAGATCTATAGGAGGTCTTCTATCATTAGAAGACCTTCTATCTAGATAGATAGAAGACCTATAGTAGGTGTTCTATATATACGAGACCTAAAGGAGGTCCTGTAGGGGGCCTTCTGTTTATAGAAGACCTAGAGAAGGCTTTTTTATTGACTTTGAAACCTGTGGAATGTATTTTTAGAAGACCTTATAGGTCTGCAATATCTAAAAATCTCTTCGCTCCTATATTTTTTAAATTTTAAGTCTTCGTACTTCTATTGATGCTTTTCTCTCAGACATCGTATGATGCAGTACCAAAATAATACTCCCCCCTTTTACCTAAACATCCCAAAATTGCATCCATGACTAATACGCTTATATCGGATAATTAATTCTACAAAATCCGCTTATCAAACAGCGTAATATCATAGTAGCGTAGCGAGCATTCAAAAAAACACGTTCGTTCAATTTTACGGAAAGACGAATCAATGAAATCGAAAACCGGCCAATACACATCCGCACGTTCAAAATGTGGTGTCGTTTTGTTGACATAAGCGTACGGCGACGTAACAACACACAGAACGTGATAATCATACCTAATATAGAGACCCCAAATAAAAAATCGAAAAAAAATAAATGAATTGGAAACAAAATCGTATTGAATTTGAAATCGAATATGAGGTAATAATTGTTTGATTAATTAACAGCTCTTAAAATTTGGTATTAAATTAATTAGGAGAATTAAAGAAAAAGTGATGATAACATTCGAGGAATTGGTCTGTTAATTGGTTCCGATAATCCGCATGGAAGACAATGATATAAATGCTGTAATATGACTCAGTGTGCGATGAAATAATATTGGTCTTATCTATCGTCATTTATTGGTGGCCATAAAAGAGTCGCTTCTACGGGGCAATGAAATTAATTTAAAAGTTACGATCTCAACATCATGCTGGACAAAAGTTCTTCATATTGTCGTTAATCGGTTAGTTAATAAATGACGTTTATAAGTTCTTTTGGCTCGATGTTTAATTATGACGAAATCTGGAACTCTCTCCTAAGTTGGCAGAGGTATCCCCATTTATAGCGTGAAGCGTAGAGCAAGCACCTAGTTTTGGGTTTTACAATTTCCAAATATTAGTCGGATATCGCCATTCCAAAGCGGGTTAATGCTTAGCAATGAGGTCGGTATACAGGGTGAAATGAAAAAAACTGCAACCAACTTCAGACTGCTGTCATTTCTAAGCCACTCTTCCGACGGCTGTTTAAATTATTCCAGTGACAGCTCATTATATTGTTTACAAGCCTACAAAAGCATTTTGGTGAGAATTTTCCAGAAAAAAGGTTATTCGTGATTGAATTCAAGCGTGATAGTGTGATTGTTTTGTTTTTGGCTGGAAAGCCACAAGTGGCTATCGTTAGAGCACTCCAGCATTTAAATGTGAATAAATCTTTTGTGTCTCGTAGCATCGCTCGTTACCGATTACGTGATACTGGTAGCGTAGCCCGATGTCAAGGAAGTGGACAGAAGAAAACAGCAACATCAGCAGAAATGGTTTGAAAATTACAGAAGAAACTTGATCGAAACCCGCGTCGAAGTGGCCGAAAAATGGCTCGTGAGCTGAACATATCGCAATATTCCATTCGGCAAGTATGGAAAAATGAGCTCGGGTAAAGCCATTGAAATTCCAAAAAGTGCAGGAACTTACACCGCAACAGAAAGAAAATAGACTCAAAAGAGCTAAAAAGTTGCTTCGCTTGGCCGAAAGTGGTAAACTGCCGAATTTGGGTTTCTCCGTCTGCGATGAGAAAACATTCGTTGTCCAGCAGTTTGGAAACAAACAAAATGATCGGGTTTCTACATGCCAAAGAGGTCAGCTGAAAATGTGCACCTTCGGTTGGCCACCAGAACTCAAACGCCGGTGCCGGCCATGGTGATGGTGTGGGCCGCCATAACAGCCGATGGTCGCTCTGCGCTCCTATTAATCGACCGTGACATCAGAGTAAATAACGAATATTATCGCCAAAATATTCTGGAGGAAGTATTAAAGCCTTGGGCACGCAAACATTTTGACCGCAGACCTTAGACCTCAATTCCAACAGGACTCAGCACCATCGCACTCAGCACGCAGCACCTAAGAATGGTTACAGAATGAAGTTCCTCGCTTCATTTTCAGCGCACAATGGCCTCCAAAATCTCCGGATACCAATCCGTTGGACTATTATGTCTGTAGTATTTTGGAAAGCAAGGTTGGCACTAAATAATGCCAAAGTGTCGATCAACTCAAGCAAGCGCTTCGCCGGGAATAGGCCAAAATACCGCAGAGCAACATTCGGGCAGCGTGTGACGTTTTCATTGGCCGTTTGAAGGCCATAATTCGTGCCAAAGGTGACCAATTCGAATAAATCTAAACTTATTCTAAAATTTGATGCTATTTCCGACATTTTTTTGCTTTCATTCAATAAAATTTAAAAAAAATATATAAAAATGATGGCGTTTGACTTTGTTGCACTTATCTCACCCTGTATATGGGAGCTATATCCAAATTTAAGCCGATCTTGACAAAATTTGAAACACTTATTTCTGAGCTGTATCTATATATCAGTGCATATTCCGCATGTGAGGGACTTGGAACACAAAAATTGGGTGAAATATATATATGGGAGCTGTAGCTATATCTGAACCGATTTTCAGAAAATTTGATGTACTTGCTTCTAGACTGAATTCGGTCGGATGTGCTTAAATTCAGGTCATTTGGACTGATATAGGCCATTTAGTGTACAATAAACCCGAAATCGGTTGAAGATATATATGGGTGACGTATCTAAATTTGAATCGATTCTCACCAATTTCAAAGGAGTTCATTCCGAAGCCAAACAGATATTGTTTGGAAAATTTCATCTCAGTCGGATAATAAATGCTACCTACATTCTGTTCAAAAAAAAAAAAAAAAAAACAGTAAAGAAAGTCCTATAGTCGGGCGGAACGGACTTTATGATACCCTACACCACTTTGCTAATTTAGTAGAGCTCCACATAACAATTAAAAGTTTTTATGGGAGAATTCAATCATGTATCTTTTAAATTCGGACTTTTGCCCATTTGGTGGGAGCTATAGCTATATCTGAACCGATCTTCACCAAATTTGGCATACTAGCTTCTAGACTCAATTCGGTCGCATGTGCCAAATTTCATTTGAGCAAAAATTTGACGTTTGGTGTACAATAAAAGGTAAATCGGACGAAGTTATATATGGAAGCTATATCCAAATCTGAAACGATCTCGATAAAATTTAGCAAAGGTATTTCTGAGCTGCATTTGATATATTTTCCCAAATATTGTTGTTACAGAGTGGATATTACGGCTGCGGAGGAAAAAAATAAAAAATCGGATGTGACAATATATATGGGAGCTATAGCTATATCTAAACCGATTTCGATCAAATTTGGCATACTTATTTTCAGGCCTAATTTGGTTGTATGTGCAAAATTTCATACTATTCGGGCTGATATTACACGTTTGGTGCACAATACAAAGCAAATCGGACGAAGATATATATGGGAGCTATATCTAAATTTTGACCGATTATCTCCAATTTCATTGGGGTTCGTCCTTAGGCCAAAAAAATGTTGTTTGAAAATTTCATCTCAATCGGATAATAAATGCGACCTGCATTTTTTCACAAGAATACATGGACAGATGGACGGACCGACGGACGAACTGACATGCATAAATCGACTCAGAAAGTGATTCTACGAAGATTCCACATTCAGGTCATGTGGACTGATATTGGCCATTTGGTAAACAATTAACTCGAAATCGGTTCAAGATATATATGGGAGCTGTATCTAAATTTGAAGCGATTTTCACCTATTTCAATGGGGTTCGTCCTTGGGCCACACAAATATTTTTTTGGAAAATTCCATCTCAATCGGATAATAAATGCGACCTGCATTTTGTTCACAAATATACATGGACAGGCGGACGGATAGACGGACTGACAGGCATAAATCGACTCAGAAAGTCATTCTATAAAGATTCTCAAAAGTAACTATGGGTCTATCTCGCTTCCTTTTCCATGTTATAAGCAAATCCACAAAGACGTAATACCCTTATGACTATGTGGTGTAGGGTATAAAAATCTACGTACATACATCTATATTGTATACAGATGTCTGTAATATATATGTATGTTTGTTTGTCTCCATTTTAAATTAATTTTAATTATTACGAGATTCAAATATTCATTTTTTTGTTTTTGTTTTTCTACTATTTTTCTTTCCAGGGGAAGTGATCTCAGTGATGTATCCATAATAAAACGTATGCGTGGTGTTGAAGTGTTGGCGTTAAGGTAAGTCATGTTTGTTTTTGTGTTTGTTGTTGTTTACATATCTACTTATATATCTACTTATAAATTGTCTGTGATTATTATGGCGACTGATTTTTTTCTAATGTCATCGAGCAGTTGTTTCATGAAATGTGGAATTTCATATTTAGCTTTTGGGGGGGGGGGGGGGGGGGGGGGTAGTGTGGGCGTAGAAGTAATAACAATTCTCAGGACCATATATGGGGCCATTAAAACGTCGTTGCGTTTTTTTATGGCTGGTTTGGAAAACTGGTATTGAGATGCATGAAAAAAATATTCTCAATGCTGGGCATGATTTAGACTTAACATCTATTTCAAAAAATTTTGAAATTCTCAATTTTTATACCCTACACCATAGTATGGAGGAGGGTATATTAAGTTTGTCATTCCGTTTGTAACACCTCGAAATATACATTTTAGACCACACACAGTGTATATATATTCTTGATCAGCATAAAATTATATGTCGATTTAGCAATGTCCGTCCGTCCGTCCGTTCGTCCGTCTGTGGAAATCACTCTAGCTTCCGAACGAAATGCAGTAAGTTGATAAAAATTTACTCAAATGTGTATTATGTCTGCAGGACTTTTGGTATTGAAAATGGGTCATGTGGGTCCACGTCTTCGTATAGCCACCATATGGCGGTACCTCCCGATATTCGATTTTCTTATTATTTTAGCGACATTTTTCAACGGAATTGTTTCAAATTTGGTATTTGAAGTTCGCAATTAATACCTTAGCCTAAGACAGAAAATTGTCTGTTTAGATCCACGTATTCGTATAGCCCCCATATAACGGTATCCTCCGATATTCGGTATTTCGATGATTTTAACGACATTATTTACCGGAATTGTTTGAAAAAATGGGTCATGTATAGCCCCCATATAACGGTACCCCCCGATATTGGGTATTTTGATGAATTTTGCGACATTATTTACCGGAATTATTTCAAATTTGGTATGTGAAGTTCATAATTGATACTACAGCCTAAGACAGAAAATTGTCTGTGCAGGTCCACGTCTTCGTATAGCCCCCATATAACGGTACCTCCCGATATTCGGTATTTTGATGATTTTAGCGACATTATTTACCGGAATTGTTTCAAATCTGGTGTTTGAAGTTCGTAATAGACACTACAGTATAAGACAAAAAATGGGTCATGTAGGTCTACGCCTGTATAGCCCCCATATAACGGTACCTCCCGATATTCGATATTTTGATTATTTTAGCGACAATTTTCAACGGAATTGTTCCACATCTGGTATGTGAAGTTCGTAATAGATACTACAGCCAAAGACAGAAAATTGTTTGTTTAGGTCAACGTCTTCGTATAGCCCCCATATAACGTTACCTCCCTTTTTTCGGTATTTTGATGATTTTAGCGACATTATTTACCGGAATTGTTTCAAATTTGGTATTTGAAGTTCGTAATAGATACTACAGCCTAAGACAAAAAATGGGTCATGTAGATTCACGTCTTCGTATAGCCACCATATAAGGGTACCTCCCGATATTCGGTATTTTGGTGATTTTTGCGACATTATTTACTGGAATTGTTTCATATTTGGTATGTGAAGTTCGTAATAGATACTACAATATAAGACAAAAAATGGGTCATGTAGGTCCACGTCTTTGTATAGCCCCCTATATAACGGTACCTCCCGATATGCGGTTTTTTTTAGGTACTTTGATGATTTTTGCGACATTATTTACCGGAATTGTTTCAAATTTGGTATTTGAAGTTCGTAATGGATACTACAGCCCATGACAGAAAATTGTCTGTGCAGGTCCACGTTTTATAACCCCCATGGTACCTCCCTATATTCGGTATTTTGATGATTTTAGCGACATTATTTACCGCAATTGTTTCAAATTTGGTATGTGAAGTTCATAATTGATACTACAGCCTAAGACAGAAAATTGTCTGTTTGGGTCCACGTATTCGTATAGCCCCCATATAACAGTACCCTCCGATATTCGGTATTTTGATAATTTTAGAGACATTATTTACCGGAATTGTTTCAAAATTGGTATTTGAAGTTCGTAATAGATACTACAGCCTATGACAGAAAATTGTCTGTTTAGGTCTACGCCTTCGTATAGCCCCCATACAACGGTACCTCCCGATATTCGGTATTTTGATGATTTTTGCGACATTATTTAGTGGAACTATTTCGAATTTGGTATTTGAAGTTCGTAATGAATACTGCAGCCTAAGAGAAAAAATTGTCTGTGCAGGTCCACGTCTTTGTATAGCCCCCATATAACAGTACCTCCCGGTATTGGGTATTTTGATGATTTTAGCGACATTATTTACCGGAATTGTTTCAAATTTGGTATTTGAAGTTCGTAATGAATACTACAGCCTATGACAGAAAATTGTCTGTTTAGGTCCACGTCTTCGCACAGACCCCATATAACGGTACCTCCCGATATGCGGTATTTTTATGATTTTAGAGACATTATTTACCGGAACTATTTCAAATTTGGTATTTGAAGTTCGTAATGGATACTACAGCCTAAGACAGAAAATTGTCTGTGCAGGTCCACGTTTTATAACCCCCATGGTACCTCCCTATATGCGGTATTTTGATGATTTTTGCGACATTATTTACCGGAATTGTTTCAAAATTGGTATTTGAATTTCGTAATGGATACTACAGCCTAAGACAGAAAATTGTCTGTTTAGGTCCACGTATTCGTATAGCCCCCATATACCGGTATCCTCCGATATTCGGTATTTTGATGATTTTAGCGACATTATTTACCGGAATTGTTTCAAATTTGGTATTTAAAGTTCGTAATGGATGCTACAGCCTATGGCAGAAAATTGTCTGTTTAGGTCCACATCTTTGTATTGCCCCCCATATAACGGTACCTCCCGATATTGGGTATTTTGATGATTTTTGCGACAATTTTCACCGGAATTGTTTCAAATTTGGTATGTGAAATTCGTAATGAATGCTGCAGCCTAGGACAGAAAATTGTCTGTGCAGGTCTACGTCTTCATATAGCCCCCATATAAGGGTACCTCCCGATATTCGGTATTTTGATGATTTTAGCGACATTATTTACCGGAATTGTTTCAAAATTGGTATTTAAAGTTCGTAATAGATACTAGATCCTAAGACAGAAAATTGTCTGTTTAGGAACACGTCTTCGTATAGCCCCCATATAACGGTTCCTTCCGATATTCGGTATTTTGATGATTTTAGACAGATTTGATTTTAAACAGATTTTTTTTCAAGTTTCGCAGTTTCTAATAGCTTATGACAAAAGTTGCCTATGCAGGTCCATGTCGTCGTATGGACCCTAATATATGGCTACATTCGGTATTTTTTGGATTTTAACAGAATTTTTAACGGATTCTATTTTTATTTTTGAAAATTGCCAAATTTGTACCAAATGGTGGAGGATATTCAAAGTTCGGCCTAGTCGAACTTACAGCTTTTTTTACTTAAAATCAATGTTGAAAAATTTAATTAATTTTTTTTCGGTTTTACTCTACAATTCTGTTGACCCTATTACCTGGCTTTGTTGTTTTTTGCTTCCCCCTGCCATTAATCACTTACCTTGAGAAGGTCAACAACGCCTCTATGTTTTTATTTTTTGCCTATTTTAGGTTAACGGCTTTGAGCAAATATCCGCTATCATGCCAGTATTTATTTGAAACTTGTTGGGATTCAGTTTGAATATTTTCACAGAAATAGAGGCCATGTCTTTTCCAACTTGGCTGAGATAAAAAAGTGGCAACTAGCAACAGGTTAGCGGATTAGTTGTATTCATCTGCGTTGCTCTTTCAATTCATTGAATTATAAAGAGGCTATAAATGGAAATAAGATACAAATTAAACAAAAGGCCGGCAGGGGTGAAAAGGGGAAGTGGAAGAGGACGGAGGAGAGGTGGCCACCTTATCGTTAATAAAAATAAATAAATAAAAACGTACAAATGCGACACCGTTTAGTTTATGGCTCAAAGGCAGGCGTATTTAAATGGCGTTTATTGTCGATGAGTGTGTGTATGTCTTTGTCTCTATTTTTTTTTTTTCATAAATTAATCTCATTTGAAATAAAAGATTATGAATGGGAAGCTATATATGACTGGGTGCGAGAAAAAATAGAGATGTATGAGACACTTATTCCAGTGATGTCATCTATCTCTCGGCTGTTTCTGCTGCTGCCACTTTGTTGACAGCTTTGTTGAGAGCTGCTGAGAATGCCAAGTAAACAAACGCAGCAGTCATGTGCTCTGTAGTTTTTTTTTTGTGTTCTGCTGGATTTATAGCCCTACTAACACACAGACTCGGCACTAAGGCACATAACGTTTTTGTAGTAAAGTGGGAAAGCAGAGACAAGATTTCCTCATACGATATCCAGAGACAAGACGCCTCCAGGAAAAGAAAAAAAAATAATGAAACTTGGTGATGAGAAATAAAGCTGGAGGCTTTTTCATCCTCTTCCCATCTGGAAATGATCTGATTTAAATATTCTAGTTTTTATACCCTCCACCATACTATGGAGGGTATATTAACTTTGTCATTCCGTTTGTAGCTCCTCGAAATACTCATGTCAGACCCAATAAAGTATATATATTCTTGATTAGCGTAAAATTCGAACTCGATTTAGCGATGTCCGTCTGTCTGTCTGTGTGTCTGTCTGCCCCCATATAACGATATTCGGTATTTTGACGATTTCAGCGACATTATTCACCGGAATTGTTTCAAATTTGGTATTTGAAGTTCGTAATGGATACTACAGCCTAAGATAGAAAATTGTCTGTGCAGGTCCACGTCTTCGTATAGCCCCCATAAAACGGTACCTCCCGATATTCGGTATTTGGATGATTTCAGCGGCATTATTCAATGGAATTGTTTCAAATTTGTTATTTGAAGTTCGTAATGGATACTACAGCCTATGCCAGAAAATTGTCTATGCAGATCCAGGTCTTCGTATAGGCCCCATATATTTTCGGTTTTTTGATGATTT